TATATATATATATATACACACATATACACACACACACACACACACACACACACACATATATATATTGAAGTCACTGGCTGTGGTAGTGCATGCCTGTAACTCCAGCACTCCAGAGGCTGGGGAAGGAAGGATCTCCATGTGTTTAAGGCCACCCTGGGCTACATAGTGAGTTCAGGGCCAGCCTGCACTACAAAGGGAGACCCTGCCTCAAAAGACAAAAACAAAACAAAAGACTGAAGTTATTTGATTCTCAATGTTTTGATTCACAAATTTATAATAAAAAAATTTAATTCTTGCATATGCAAAGACTACATTTTTCAAAGTATTTTCATATCATTTTAGTGTGTGCAAAGATATTCATGTCAAATGGTAGAATAATTTCCTCAAAAAAATTAAACATAATTAAAATCTATCCAGGCATGGTGACAAACACCTGTAATCCCAGCACTCAGAGAAGGCTGAGGCAGGTAGATTGCTGTGAGTTTGAGGCCAGTCTGAGCTACATAGTGAATTTAAGGCCAACCTGAATTACAGAGAGAGATCCTGTCTCAAAAAAAAAAAAGAAAGTCTGATCCAACAGTTGTACTTCTAGATGTATACCCCAAAGTGAAGATGTAGCAGCACTATTCACAGTAGCCAGTAGGAGGAAGCCACTCAAGTATCTACTGATGAGTGAATGCATAAAGAAAATTATATACATGCAATGGAATAATACTCAGCCTTAAAGAGGAAAGAATTTCTGATGCATGTTACATAATGAATGAAGCTTGAAGACATTATCCTCAGTGATACAAGCCAATCACAAAAACAAATACTGCGTGACTCCACTTTAAGAAGTACCTAGAATAGTCAGTTCATACTAACAGTAGAATGGTGTTGCCAGGAGTGATGTAGGAAGAAATGGGGAATTATTGTTTCATGGGTAGGGAGGATGCATTTGGGAAAATAAAGTTCTGGAAATAGATTGGTAATAACATCACACAACAGAATAAATGTACTTAATGCTGATGAACTGTAGCCTTGAAAGTGGTCAAGATGGTAAATAATATGTTACATGTATTTTTCTACAGAAAATGTATGGCAGTTATAGTTCATAAGGGTGATGATTGACATTTATATTAAGTGCAGATCTGATTTTGTGAAATATATTGACATCATAAATTGGTCTTCTAAAATGAATTCATTTTCTCAGTCTTATTTTTTAATAAGCCAAACATGCTATTGTGGTAACTCTATGTGTTGTACTTTATGAACTCAGCTTTGCCACTTTTTGTACCAACAGGAGGATCAAGAGGATCTAGGCCTGTGGGAAGAGAAATTTGGAAATTTTGTGGATGTCAAAGCTAATGGTAAATTAAAACTAGAGTAGTATTAAAACAGATCATTCCAAAATGGCTAAACATCTCTAAGTCTCTTGAACTTTGGCACCCAAAACAAGTAACTTCTGTAAGGTGAACAAAAATCTCAGATTTGGGTTGCTTATCCTTCCATAATACATTCCCAAAGAGAAGTGATGATTCTGTGCCTTTGTTGGGGAGTGTGAGAAAAGGATAGGCCACCAGGAGCTCATGGTCTCAGGAGCAGGCCTAGGACAACACATTGGTTGTGTTATCTGATAGATCAGATAGCTCTAAACTCACATTGTTCTGTGTGTGTGTGTGTGTGTGTGTGTGTGTGTTAGAGACTGTGGATTGAACCTAGGACCTTCACATTGATCCATATCCCCATGTCCCCAGACATTTTTAATTTTTTATGTTGAGATAGGGTCTCACTGTGTCCCAGAGTTGCTTGAAGTCTAGTCCTCTTGCTTCAGCCTTCCAGAGTGATGGGAGTATAGGCATGGACCACCATGCCTGGCTTTTCACATTCTTTTTTTTTTTTTTTGTACTGAGGATCGAACGCAGGTCCTTGCTATTTTTATGAAACTTAAGTTAGGGTAAACTAAGTTATTGAATTAGTCTGCTCCAGTAGCCTCAGCCTTTTTCATGCCCCCATCATTCCCATGGGTGTCACATGCCAATCTGTGACATCTCATTGCGTCAGTCCTCTTTCCCATTACTGGACACAATACCTGATGCTGACAATATAAGGGAGGAAAGGTTTGATTTAGCTCACGGTTTGGGGGAATTCAGTGCATAGTCAGCTGACTCCAAAGAAGGCATATCATGGTGGAAGGCATGGAGAAGCACAGCCACTTGTTTCATGGGGGCTAGGGAGCAGAGCAGGACAACAGCACCTAACAGGAACCAGTGAGGGCCTGTGTATAGTACGTGTGATCACACTTCCATCACACAGCCAGGACCATACTGTGCTAATCAGCTAGGCATTTCTTAATCCAGTGAAGTTCATCTGTCACCATTTATGGTCACACTCACCAAGCTTAGTGATGGGGAAGTAGGGATAGAGTTTGTCCTTCTCTGGTACATGGGGCTATATGGCTAGGAAAATACTCATTTTCCTCTTCCTGCCTACCCTACAGAACAATGTCTTCCTTGACTCCTTGACAATCTTTGTTCTAGCCACTTACATTTACAGCATAGCATAGTGATGGTAAACCTTTTAGAGATTTCAATGATACAAACAGCCAGCATGGCATGGGTCCCATAGGTTCACTACCATTGGCAGAGTATAATGACTAAGGTTGAAAGAATGTTGAAATTTTTAAGAAAGGGAGTGGCTTTCTTAAAATAATCATATTTTGTACCTTGTCTTTCCACAGACTCCTATGAATAAGGACCATTTGGTGTCAGATACTTTAACATGAATGTTAATGTTATGTGCCTAATTACTTGCACTTTTCCAATATCTCTAAAATAATTGTGAAATAAAGGACTTTGTGTTTGTTTAGAGGAAATACATATATGTATAATTATGGGAAAATAGTATTTTATTGTATGTGCTGCTGAAGTGAGCGTGGGAAAATTATATTTTGAGGAGCTAGAAAAGTCCTTCCTAGTGCCCTTGACATGACAATCCCTGTAGGAAACTGTAAGACAAGGCTGGCAGTAAGACTTAGTTACCATGTAGAAGATATTCATTCACCTAGCGGAGATTAAAAGTGCTCAATAGTCTTTGCTCCCTAGAGCAAAGAAGTATTTTACAAAAATTTCAATGAGGAAAAACACCTAAAACGTTGAACTGTATTTTACAAACAGCAAAGAGATGCATTTATTATAAATGAGGACACAGCTTCAGCACGTAGTTAAGGCGACAAGAGTAGAAGTGACCAGAGAGCTTTGCCTGGTGTTCCAACAGTGCCTGAAGACAGTCTCAGAGTCAGGGCAGAGCATTTGCTGATTGATCAGGGCAAGTTCAGGTCTCCCTACCCTTGGTCTGGTCATCTTGCTATACTTAGTCGACAAAATGATGGTCCTGTTGAAAAGCCAAACTTAATTAGCATTCTGATCTTTACAGGTCCTGCCTCCATTGGTTTAGATTTCTCCTTGCATGGATTTGAACATGTCTATGGGATCCCACAGCATGCAGAATCACACCAACTTAAAAATACTAGGTAAGTGAAAATAAGAATTGTTACAGTAGACTCTAGTTTGATGCTGCTTGTAGAGTTTTAAGAACCTTCCTTGAATGGTCAGACAAAGAGAAGTTTTCAGGTTTTTTTTTAATTAGATAATTAACAAAACTGTAATACTGAACTTAATAATACAGAGGAATGCTCTGGGGATCTAGCTCAGTGGTTCTGACCCCTGCTTCATAAGCGCAAGGACACAAGTTCGATACCTGGTACCAAAAATAGGAAGCTGCTATGATTGAAGCAAGGAATAGATCTTTCTCTCTAGGTCTTGGGCTTATCATGAAGGGCTTTTTGTGGAACCTTAGGAAAAAGCACGGTGAAAGATCACTGACCTAAAAAAAGGGCCATTACTCTAAAGAGAACAGTGAGCCAGAGGGCTGAAAAGTATGGCATCTCATATTGCCTATTATTCCCTTGGGGAGATCATTTCAGGCTTATACTAGGAACACATTAGAGAGGCACGTTGGGGGAGGGGGGCAGAGTCTGACAAAGGGTGCCAGGTTCCAGAACCGCTTACCTGACAGGCAGGCATAGTGACAAGTCCATCAGAAACTGTGCTGCTCTCCTGTCAACCTGACTCTGTACCCCACCCTCACCCCAATTCATTTCTGATCTTTCCCGGCTCAGCCATGGGGAAACATGTTAAGACGCTCCTTTTGTTCTAGAGAAGTACTCACAGAATGCATCAGAGAATGCTTAGTGTGTGCTTGGTCTTCTAGAGGTGTCACAGGAGACCTCTCCTCAAAAGAGAGGTTTAGAAAAGATAGCTAAGATATAGGCGCGCCAAAAAATCCAAAGGTTGGTTCAGGAAACCCTTAGGGAAGTGATAAGTGTTCTATTCATAAATGATATATTTGTGACGGTAACTGATGATGATCTTTTATTGTCATTTTAGGGATGGAGATGCTTACCGCCTTTATAACCTGGATGTCTATGGATATCAAATACATGACAAAATGGGCATTTATGGTTCAGTGCCTTATCTCCTGGCCCACAAACTGGACAGAACTATAGGCATTTTCTGGCTGAATGCCTCAGAAACACTGGTGGAGATCAATACAGAGCCTGCAGCAGAGGTAAGCTGTGGATCATGGCTTCGTGTCATACTTACAGAAGAAACACAAACACTACATGGTAGTCAGAGCTCTTTTGTGTGTGTATGTGTGTGTGTGTGTTTGTGTGTGTGTGTGTGTGTGTGTGTGTGTGTTACCCATTCTCTGCCACCAAAAGTATTGGTGAATGTCAATAGTACTAAAAGAACAGACTCACGTACAATCAGGTGTTGTAGGTTATAGAGAAATTTCTCAGGTGTTCATTCTATTCCTTTTCCAGTACACACTGACCCAGGTGGGCCCAGCTGCTGCTAAACAGAAAGTCAGATCTCGAACTGATGTGCGCTGGATATCCGAGAGTGGAATCATTGATGTTTTTCTGCTGACAGGACCGACACCTTCTGACATCTTCAAACAGTACTCGTGCCTGACAGGTATTCTCATGCGGAGGTGACATTTTCCATTCTATTATACTTTCTCTGTTTCATGGATTATCATTGTAAGTTAATTTTTGTTTCAAACTATGTAGAACTAATAAACAACTTACGGCAGCATTTTAAGTAGCCAGCACTCCTCTTCCTTTCAGCCCTGTTAAACGTTACACTGCATCTAGAACTGTCCACTCCCTAACCCCTCATACTTGCCATTTGCCCTCCTTGGAACACCTAGTCTCTTGGTATTAATCTACCTCTAACTCAGATGACCACTAGCCCAATCTGAACTTTTGTATGTTTTCTTCTGTGATAAGATATACTACTCATTTAAAAAGTAAAATAAAACAAACCACTAGTTTTATCAACAAAGAACTTTACCTTTAAAAGACTGCAAGACTGGGTATGGATAGAGCTCTGTGGTAGGGAACTTGCCTGAGAAGAGCCCCCAAAGCCTCGTGTGATCATAGACAGGGCTTTTGGGAGGTGATTTGGTCACGGAGATGCTGTATTCATTGGTGAATCAGTCCATTGATGAGCTCATAGCTAAATGTGCTGTTAGGAGCTGGAGCCTGGTCAGAAGAGGTGGGTCAGTAGGGAGGTGACCTGGAAGGAGGGTGTATCTCCCTCTTTTTGTGCTCTGTATCATCCCTTTGCGCTCTCCTTCCTGTCCACCATGAGGTGAGCAGTTTTCCTCTGCCCAGGCCCTTCCACTATGCTGTTAACCATGAGAGAATTGAAATTTCTAAAACATGAACCAAAATAAACCTCTCCTCCTTTAACTTATGGGTGTCAGGTATTTTGTCTCAGCATTGAGGAAAGTGACTAAGACATATGATCCAATATATGGAAACCCTCAAAGAATCCACCAAAAGAACAAAAAAAAAAAAAAGCAAAACTACTAGAGCTGTAAATTCAGCAAAGTTTTAGGATACAAGGTCAAAACACAAGCCAGGTGTGCTGATGTATGCCTATAATCCCAGGACATAGGAAGCTGAGGCAAGAGGATAACTGCAACTTCAAGGCCACCCTGGGCTACATAGCAAGACTCTGCCTCAAAAAAAAAAAAAAAAAAAAAAAAAAAGGGTGGGGGTTTGTGCCCGGGGGCCCCTTCCCCCCCCAAAAAGGGAAAAACCCGGGCCCAAATCCCGGGACCAAAAAAAAAAAAAAAAAAAAAGAGCAAAACACAAAAATCAATTGTTTCTATACACTACCAATGAAATAATCCTAAAAAAGAAATTAAGAAAATTCTACTAGCATCAAAAAAAAATGAAACTTAACCAAAGAAGTTGTATTAATCAACTTTACATCACTGTAACAAATCCCTAAGGCAACCAGCTTATAAAGAGAGAAGGTTTATTTTGGCTTACAGTTTTGGAGGTTTCAGTCCATTATTGATTGGCCCATTGCTTTGGTCCCATGGCATATCAGTACGTCATGGTTGGAATACATAGTGGAGAAAATGCTTACCTCAAAGCCAGGAAGCAAAAGAGAGAGAAGAGACTGGGGTCCCACAGTCCCTCGGAGGGTAGGTCCCAAAGACCTAAAGAACTCTAGGACCCACCACTTAAAGTTGCCATCACCTCCCATTATGCCCATCTGAGGGCCAAGTCCGTGGGCCCTTGGGGAACACTCCATACCCAAACAATAGCAGAAGTGAAAAACTTGAACACTGAAAACTACCGAACATTCCTGAAAGAAGCCATTAGTAAATGGGAATGCATACTTCTGCCTCCTTTCAAATATAAAGCCATCCTTTTTCCTATCTTCTGCCTTGGTTGATCATTTGGCTGGCTAGACTGAAAATGCTTTGTGCAGAATTTGACAGTTTCTCTATTGTCTTCTGGCTTCTTCCTCTCAAATCATTCTTAGATCTAGTGCTTTGCATATGACCTATCTTTTCTCTATGAAATACCTTCTCTTTAATATTCTGAAATTCCATGATGAAATTCCTCAATGCAGATCCTTTAAAATAATTATTGTGCTGGACCCTTTCAGTCTTGAGATTTGTGTTGTTCAGTTGTGGGAAACAGTTGTATATTATGCCTTTCATAATTTCTTTCCCTCCTTTTTTCCTTTCTCTTCTTCTGATTTTATAACCTTCTTTCACTTTTGTGCCTATTTTCTGAGCAGTGTTCTCAATTTTATCTTCCAGGTTTTCCACTTACACTGTCATATTTCTAATGTCTAGGAGCACTTTCTTATCCTCTGATTGTTCCTTGTTTCTATTATTTTATGCTTGTTTTATGGGTACAATATTCTTTTTCATTTCTAGAGACATTAAAGATAAGATTTTGATTGATTTCTTGCTCTGTCCCTGCTTTCTGAGAGATATTTTTATTGTGTTTTTGTATTGGGTTCCTGTCTCTAATTTTAAAGGCTGTCCTTAAATGTGGCTCTGACTGGAAGCTCTGTGTGGCTGGCTGTCTTACTTGCTGGTCCTGAGAGGCGAATAGGGGTGCTCTCCTGCCTGCAAGGAATCTAGGGGCAGGGCTGAGCTCTTCTTATCAGCATTCTCCTCACAAGCACCCTGGGAAAGCTGTCCTGGCTGTGCTTAGCAGTTTCTATCTGCCTGTCACCTTCCATGTTTTTGTTGAAATGACTCTTCTTCTGTTGTCTTTATTTCCTTTTTTTATTTACTCTGAATTTAATGAGGTTTTAGGAGAAGATAAATACAAATGGTTTACCAGAAGTCCTCAATGACATTTTTACAATAATTTTCTGACAGTTCCTCCTAACTTCAGTCGGTTTCCCTTTCAGTCAGCCTTAACACTGCTTCCTGCCTTAATTTCTTAAGGCATATTTTGGAACAAACTCAGGGCCTCGTACATGCTAATGGTAGGCAAACACTCTACCACTCAGCTACATGGCCAGCCTCTAACTTAATTATATAAAACAAATCTGCCACGATTACACCTGGCCAAATTTCTTTTGGCTTCCTATAAAAGAAAATGCATGAGATTCCACTGCCTGCTTTGCAAGCGCAAGATCCTAAGTTCAATCCCTGGTACCAAAAAAAAAAAAAAGAAAGATACAGAATTCCTGAATTCAGAATGCCTGAACTACAGGGCCCTTTACAAAGTGACCTCCAGTTTCATTTTCTCCTGGCCTCTCTTACTTTGGGGTATTTATTTTTCCCTAACCCTGTCATGATCTTCCCTGCAGTTATTCTCTGTCCCTGGAATACTCTATTCGTTCTCCCTTTCTGGAATATTCCTCTTATTCCTCAAGATCCAAACCAGGGTCACCTACTCTGTGAAGCCTCTCAAGATCCCACTTCACCGCAGGCAGAATTTATTAACCTCTTTGTGTTCCTACAACATAAGGCTGATACCTTTAGTGTAGCAGTTATACCTCAGGGAAAAGGGTTTTTTTTGTTTTTTGGAGTGTTTTGTTTGTTTGTACCTGGGATCAAACTCAGGACCTTGAGCTTGCAAGGCAGGTAGTGGCACCACTGAGCTAAATCCCTGGCCCTATTTTTGTTTTTTTGAGACAGGGTCTTGCTATATAATTCAGACTGGCCTCAAACTCACTATGTAGCTCAGGCTGGCCTCTAACTTGTGGCACTCCTCCTGCCTCAGCCTCCCGAGTTAAGGGAAAAGTATTTTATTTACATGCCTGCCTCATCACCCAAATTGTAACTTCCCTGAAGGTAGAGACTGCTTTCAGTGCTCAGTACCCTGCAGACATTGAGGAAATGTTTTCCGAGGAAATGTTTTCCAAGGAAATGTTAATAATTACTGTGATGGTCACTGACTCAGCCATCATCTTTCTCTTTTAGGCACTCAAGCCATGCCCCCTCTCTTCTCCTTGGGGTACCACCAGTGCCGCTGGAACTACGAAGATGAGCAGGATGTCAGGGCAGTGGACACAGGATTTGATGACCATGACATTCCTTATGACGTCATGTGGCTGGACATAGAGCACACCGAGGGCAAGAGATACTTCACCTGGGACAAGAAAAGATTCCCAAACCCCAAAAGAATGCAAGAGCTGCTTAGGAGCAAAAAACGTAAGGTAAAATAAGCCACCATTTTGGAACTTTTAAATTACAAAGCTTTTTTAAGATTTTTTAAATTTGCCTTGGCACATTAGCAGAGGAAGACCATCTGATAAAAATAAATAAATAAATAAATAAATAAATAAATAAATAAATAAATAAATGCCATGAAAATAGTACCTTCAAATTTAACTGTAGGGCCGGGGATTTAGCTCATTGGTGCCACCACCTGTCTCGCAAGCGCAAGGTCCTGAGTTTGATCCCCAGTACCAAAAAAAATTTAACTGTAACTTCTGTGATCTTGTAATTTCTGTGATGTCAGAAGATGAATGGTGAAAAGGCAGTGCTGCCCTCCAGCTCTCCCATGGTCACCTGAGTCCCCAGAATGAGGAAGGGGCCTCGCAGGTCCGGTCCCCTTTGCTGTCGTGGCCCTGTAGCAGTGTGATGAGGTGGCACATGCACACTCAAAACTTGGCTCCTGTGTCAAAACTGATGATCATACTCATGCACCAGAAGTGTATGAAAAACTGTCATGCACATACATAGTGAGACTTGCTGGAGGGGCAGGGCCACCTTCCGACTGGCTTGCACGTGGTTTGAGAAAGCCAGGCATGGTGGTGCACACCAGTAATCCCAGCTATCCGGAAGGCTAAGGCAGGATCTAGGCCAGACTGGGCAACCTGAAGAGACCCTGTCTCAAAATTTTAAAATTAAAATAAAAAGGAGTGGATATATGGCTCAGTGACAGAGAGCCCCTGGGTTCAGGCTCCAGTACAAAAACAACAACAAAAAAATAGCAAAATAAATAGAAATTTCTCCAAAGAAACAGCCAAAAAGCATGTGATGAGAAGATGCTCAACATCACTAATCGTTAGAGAACTACAAATCAAAACTACAATTAAATACCAATAAACACTAGTAAGAGGGCTGCCATTTAAAAAATAGCAGATGTTGCTGAATACTTAGGAAGTTGGAACCTTTATTCTATATTTATGGGAATATAGATAGAATCTGCTATAAAAAACATATGGAATGTCTTTAAAAAAATAAAGATAGAGTTCCCATCTGATCTAGCAGTCCCACTTCTGGGTATATACCCAAGGGAACTGAAAGCAGGAACTCAACTGGGCATGGTGACATACACCTGTAATCCCAGCACTCTTGGAGGCTGAGGCAGGAGGATCAAGAGCTCAAACCAGCATGGACAACTTAGCAGTTCAATGAAACCCTGTCTCTAAATTAAAATTAAAAAGGATTGAAATGTAGATCAGAGCAAAAGCTCTGGGTTTCATTCCCAATATGGGGAAAAGGGAGAGAATTTTTTTTTTAAAAAAGGGACTCAAACAAATATTTGTACACCTATAGTCAGCAACAGTAGTCATGGTTCCCAAAGGGTAAAAGCAACTCAAGTGTCTCTAGGTATGAGTTGATAAAAAAATTAAAATTTTAAATATGTGGATCACACATGCAATGGAATGTTATTCAGCCTTAAAAACGAAGAAATTCTGCCGGGCTGGTGGTGCACACCTATAATCCCAGCACACAGGAGACTGAGGCAGGAGGATCACTGTGAGTTCCAGGCCAGCCTGGGCTACATAATGAGTTCCAGGTCAGTCTCAACTACATAGTGAGACCCTGTCTCAAAAAACCAAAAAAAAAAAATAACCAAAGAGGAAGAAGTTCTAAAAGTTCTAATACATTACAATGTGGGTGAACCTTGAGGACACATACTAACTGAAGTAAGTCAGTCACAAAAAACAAATACTGTGTGATTTAATTAGCTTGAAGTCACTAGAATAGTGAAATTGATAGAGGCAGAAAGTGAAAAAGTAGTTGCCAGAAGGGAATAAAATTTGTTGTTTAACTGGTATGGAATTTCAGTCTTTCAGGGTGAAAAGAGTTCTAGAGACTGTGAATGTACTTAGCATTGCTGAACCACTCCACAGTGGTTCCCATGGTGTAGTTGTATTATGTATATTTTACCATAATTAAACATCTTGAAGCTTTTGAACGATGGAGAATTAAACTTTAGCATGCAAGATGGTTTAGAGTAGAGATATTTAGAAGACTGTTTTAGCCAAAAAAAGTGGTATTGGAGACCTCAGCAAGATGGAGACAAGGAGAGATGTTACAGACTTGGAGCTGTGACTCCTGCTTTTCTCAGATCTCCTTCATCAGTATGCCTGTATCGTTGGGCTTGGTGTTGTTTATTTTTAAAATGTTATCTTTTTTCTTTCTTTAATATTTGCTTTAATAGCCAGGCATGATGGCACACACCTATAATCCCAGCACTCAGGAGGCTGACACAGGAGGATTGCTATGAGTTTGAGGCCAGCCTGTGCTACACAGCCATTCAAGGCCAGCCTGAACTGCATATCAAGACATTGTCTCAAAAAAAATGTGCTTTTATCAGTGTTGTCTTAGCCTCTCTAGGTAACTGGGATTCCTCCCTCTTAATCCTTTGAGTATAACTTCCAGCATCACAGACATAGTTTAATAAATGCCTTTTTTCTTTTTGGTACCAGAGATCAAACTCAGGACCTTGCACTTGCAAGACAGGTGGCAGAACCACTGAGCTAAATCCCCAGCCCAATAAATACCTTCTTAAGGGTTGGGGATTTAGCTCAGTGGTTCTGCTACATGCCTCATAAGCTCAAGGTCCCTGGTACCAAAAAAAAAAAAAGCAATAATAATAATAATATAAATGCCTTCTTAAGAATATGTGTTGGTTAGGCAGCAATAATTACAAAAGAATATTGTTCTAGTTTTGATATCAATTTAAATTTCCATGATCATGTGAAGGGTTATAGGGTTTTACTAATGTCTGAAGTATTTTAATATGTTGTAGTTGTTTCTGAAAATAAATTTGAAGCCCCAAAGTGTGATGAAAATTTGGAAATGAACGTGTCATGTAAAACTGATGAGATTTCATCCTTTTATGTCCTTGCAGCTTGTGGTCATCAGTGACCCCCACATCATGGTAGATCCTGACTACCCAGTATACACTAAGGCCAAAGAACAGGGCTTCTTTGTGAGAACTCGTGAAGGAGGAGACTTTGAAGGAGTGTGCTGGCCTGGTACAATACCATTTTATATACTTACTGTATTCGCATGTTCAGTTCCAATTAATGAATGCCCTTTTTTTTTTTTTTTTTTTTTTTTTTTACCAGGCATCAAACTCAGAACCTTGAGCTTGCAAGGCAGGCACAGTGCCACTGAGGCCCTTATGTCCCTTACTTCTCTAGCTACATTTTAAGTAACTTTAAGGAAGAGATGGTATTGCCTTTTTTAGTATCTTTCATAACATTTGATATTGATTGCTTTGGATGAATTTCAATTAGTAATCAAGTGCATTGATTGCTAATAATAAGCAAACTTCAGTGGCATGCTGTTTTTCTAAGCAAATAGACATAAGAAGTAGGAAGTGAGAAAAGGGGAGGAGGAAAGGAAAAAAGTGCCCTGCAGGCTAACTCTTGTGATTGCTCTCTGGTCTATTAGGCCATCATTTTTTGTTTGGTTTGGTACTGGGAATTGAACTCAGGGCCTCACACTTGCCAGGCAGGTACTGTGCTGCTGAGCTACATCCCTGGCCCCTAGGCCATGGTTATGACTTCCCAGACTTTCATGAGTAACCTCAGCTGCTTCTGACAATAACAGATTTTTTTCATTTCTAAAGTTATTAGTTTAAGCTGGTTGTGGTGGTGCATGCCTGTAATTCCAGCACTGGGGAGACTGAGGCAGAAGATCACCAAGAGTTCAAGGTCAGCATATGCTGCATAGCAAGACCCTGTCTCAAAAAACAAATGGACAAACAAAATGTTAATTAAAGCCATAGGGGAAATTCCCCCAAAACAAAAGGAAATTGCCCCTCTGTCATACCATAGAACTCTATCACATATTCATGCACTGTGTAGGAACCCAAAGCCTTCCTTTTCTCTCCTGGGATCACTTGAACAGGTGTCTCTATTCCCTTTAAAAACTTAGGGGCCAGGCTGGGGATTTATCTCAGTGGCACCATGCCTGCCTCACAAGCACAAGGTTCTGAGTTTGATCCCTGATACCAAAAAAAGCTGAGGGGCCACTGCAGGATACTTGCCTGCCTTACTTAGGCTGTCCTAGACCATTAGTTAGTGAAGTCAGGCTCTATCTTGATGCTGTTCATCAGTGTTCCGCTGGAACTCTAGTGTTGGAAGGGCTAGTGATTGCCCCTGGAGTCCAGTACCACCTTCCCTCACTTCTTGCAGAGCATGCTTCCCTCATCTCTCTTTTATGTTTGATGTAAGGTGCCCATTGATTATCCAGTTCTTGCATTTGCTGTCTTCTTTACAACACATCTTACTGTGAAGACACTGTTCCTAACAGGCTGTCTACTGCTCTGCCTCAACAGGTCTCTCCTCTTACCTGGATTTCACCAATCCCAAGGTCAGAGAGTGGTACTCAGGTCTTTTCGCTTTCCCTGCTTATCAGGTTGGTCTTTTTTCTTTTACTTTTTCCTGGTTAACTTGCGAGAATGAAAGAAAAGCGATGAAATAGCATTCTGCTTCACTGAGTAGCTCTTGACACATGATACCTGTGTGAAAGCCAAAGGTGGCCACCATGGTAGACCTGGGTGGTAGTGCTTCGAGAGGTGCCACATGTTTGACCAAATGCACAAAAGCTGTGAGCTCTAACTTCTGCTATAACTGGCTCTATGATATACCAACATACATTATAACAGATGTGTTATACTTTCAAGTTACTAAATACATTTTGGTATAAAATAGTGTTCTATAACTGTTAAAGAGCTATGATAAATGTGAAAATATAAACTATAATGAGTCACTAAAAGTGAAGTATTTATTGATTATTTAAAAATCTTATGTGAATCATAGAGAACTTAAAAAAGGCCACATCTCCATATCTGGAGAACTATTTTCAAACAATTTTGGCAATATTGATAATGATGCTTTTGGTGATGGAGATACCTACACATACTAATGCAACCTATATAAGCACTGTGCTGTGTGTTATATCATTTTTCTTCACAGTTATCCTCTGAAATTAGAGCTCACTAAATCTAATCCCACAGATAAGGAAATTGAGGCACAGAGAGTTTAAAAACCTTCCAAGATCATACATCTAGTAAGTGATTTACCCAAGATTCTAACTCAAGTGTGTTTATCTGCCAAGCCTAGCTCTTAACTTTTAAACTTCTTATCTTCTGAACACTAGTTTCTGAGTATTAAGACAAGAGCAAACAATTTAGAATTCAGGGATAGACAACTCTTGAGCCAAATATAGTCATGTTTATTCACTTCCCTATCATCTATGGCTCTACTATGACAGCATTAATTAAATAATTAAGGAGACCTTATGGCCTGCAAAGATATATATACTATCTGGATTTTTACCAGAAAAAAGCAAGGCCGGGGATTTAGCTCAGTAGTGCTAAGCCTGCCTCACAAGTACAAGGTCCTGAGTTCAATTTCCAATCCAAAAAAAAAAGCAGGCTAATCCCTGCTTTAGAGGGTGCTAAAGAACAGTTAAGGTACATGTTTGGAAATACTTAGTCATGTTCATAAAAGCACACTTGTTTGGAAAGAATGGAAAGTAAGAAGTCAAAGGAGAGCACATAAGCCATTCCTGGCATTTGTCAAACTCCCTAAGCTGGGAGTGAAGCAGCAGATGTCTTCTGTGGTACCCTAGAAGGCAAACTAGCCCTTGTGAGCAGATATTACAAGGAACAGGGCCTTCAGAAAAGTATGGAATGAGCTGCCAAAGGCATGGATTCTGTGAAAGGGATTATAATACCACACTGACTAGATGACTCACCTGTTCCTTCCCACTCTAAATTGAACAATTCCATGTAGAGCACAAATTATAGATCATGTTAACAGATAACTTAATTTGTCAAAACTTTCGGAGTACTAGGAAAAAAAGTCTTGTATGTAATGTATAGCTATAATTGTCTTTAGTTAAGAGTTGTAGTAGATGCACAAAGCATGGTGATGCACACCTGTAATCCCAGCACTCTGGAGGCAGAGGCAGGAGGATCTTAGTGAGTTCAAGGCCAGACTGGACTACATAGCAAGACCCTGTTTCAAAAAACAAAACAAAAAAAGAGGTGTAGCAATAACAAATGATATAGAGCTTCACTGTGAACATTCACAATCTTTCTGGTAGGTGTTCTCCAGAAAGATCTGAATAAATCTGCTGGGCAATGTATAGTTCACAGACAGTACCGTGCACCATTCTTTCGTCTACCAAAATATATTGATTGAACCATATTCTAGGTATTTGGTATTTATCACTGAACAAAACAGATGAAATTCCCTGCCCAATAAGCATAGTAAATAAGTACATTAAATGGAGTAGGAAAGAAGAATGTGAAGTTCTGTCTTATTACATATCAGTACTGTGGGAATATTTTTCTGATTAGGGTTTACATCCTAGGGATCTACGGATATTCTCTTCATATGGAATGACATGAATGAGCCCTCAGTCTTTCGAGGGCCAGAGCAAACCATGCAAAAGAATGCTATTCATCATGGCAACTGGGAGCACAGAGAACTTCACAACATCTATGGTTTTTATCAGGTAAGACATCCAAAAGAAGCCAGCCAGATACAGGTGCCTGCCTGCCTGCCTAGCAGGCTGAAAGACATTTGCTTGGTAATAGCTGCATATATCCTCATGTCTCTGTGTCTTTTCTGACAACTGCAGCTCATCTTAGATTATAACCAATATAAGACTTTTTATTATTTCTTTTTCTTCTTTTTCTTCCATAATGAACTTGATGAATTTTTAAATATTCTGAAATTAATGAAACATAGAAACATCTCTCTTAATGGGAGCCATCAGTATACTGCATTAGATACTATCTCAAAATTTTGCTAATGTAGGTAGTGTATAAATGTACTAACAAGGGTAATTAAAACAAGTGTTTAAAAATTTCGCAAATATCCAAATACAGCAAGCCTATCATTCTCATGAGGGAAGCAAGATTTAGAATACAGATACGTAGCCGGGCATGGTGGCACACGCCTGTAATCTGAGCACTCAGGAGGCTGAGGCAGGAGGATCGCTGTGAGTTCGAGACCAGCCTGGGCTGCATAGTGAGTTCCATATCAGTCTCAACTACATAGTGAGACCCTGTCTCAAAAAAAAAAAAAAAAGAATGCAGATATGTAATTTCAATAAGTATGCGTTTCAGATGTAGGACGCTTTCCTTAAGGGCTTGCCCTTCTCATTAAAGGTGGTAGAATTATATTTTATTTGCCAACCACACCCAAAGACTTGACAGTCACTTGCCATAATTTATACTTTTGTTATTTTGCTATTTTCAGAATTTGACTGTATTCCCACGGCCCTCCTACCAATTAGTATTATTCAGTGGGAGCTGCTGACTATAGACCGTACAGTTTTCAAGTAGTAGGTGTTTATTCTCTAACATCCTGTTAGTATACCTGCAAACTGCTTGAGTTAGAGAACTCTCCTATATAGGCTGAGGCCAGTTATTAACCTCTCTGATTTTTTTTCACCAGCAAAAAATATTTGTCTCAGAGATTATTATAAAATTATAAAATAATTACAAAATGCCTAGTAATAGTAAACATTGAATAATCAAATAAATGCTAGCTGAGTATTCACTGTTATTTTTTTTTTCTAGTGCTGGGAATTGAACCAGATACTCACACATGCTAGACAAGTGTGCTCTACCACTGAGCTACCTCCCTAGCCCCGTTTTCTATTATTTCACTGAGATTGTCAGTAAAATTTTTTTATTCTTTGAATAGGGGAAATTAGATTGGTTTCATTATACCATGAAAATAATTTGATGGATTTCAGTGTTTTCTATTTCACATTCCCACCTATTTACTTTTTGCATGTTAAGTAGCTTATTGATGGTGTTGGCACAGTGCCCTAACCTTATCACTGAAATTTTTTTTTCCATTGACTTTACAGCAGATGGCTACTGCAGAAGGACTGATACAGCGATCTAAAGGAAAAGAGAGACCTTTTGTTCTTTCACGTTCTTTCTTTGCTGGATCACAAAAGTTTGGTAAGACGGCTGTATCAGACTGAAAAACACAAGTTAGCCACCTGTCTTTTTGATCATTTATACACTGCCAGTATGTGTGACAATGCCCCTGAAGTGAGCTACTGTGTTTTGTTTTGTTTTGTTTTAATACTGGGGATTAAACACAAAAATTGATAAGCCATATCCCAGCCCTTTTTTAAAACTATTTTGAGATAGGTCTCACTAAGTTATCCAGATGACCTCAAACTTGTGATCTTCCTTCACAGTTTTTAATTTGCTGATAGGGTCATCTCTGATCCTGTCCCTCTGACTCATCAAAACCAGAGAAATATACCTCTAACATTTTCCTCAACCACCTGTTTCACTTAGTAATATGCTGAAAATAGACCTGGCTGTTGCTGTGGGCAAGGTCATCTATAACTGGATCTGGGTTACTAGCCAGTATAGATCTAGTTCATCTTAACCACCCTGTGGTAGGAAGGCTATTTTAAGTCCCTCGTCCTTGTATAAATAACTTACATAATTAGCTATAAGTAACTACTTTGAAGAACCCAGCTCTTACTGTGTAACAAATTATTAGGCCTCCCGTATAACCCTTGAAAAACATCCCCTGTGATATTCAGTCAAAGGCCAAAGTATCATTGCAGGCAATGATTCACGTACATAGATTCTCACCATACCATTAGTTCTTGAAACATAGAGACAGATAGACAGAGGAGAAAGAAAAGAAAGGAATGAAAGGAGAGAGGAAAAGAAAGAGAGAGAGAGAGAGAAAGAAAGGAAAAGTATCTAAGCAGTAGCTTTAAAAATTAACAGTAGATGTGAATGCTGTTATCTTTCATTTTTTAAATGCTTGCCCACTTCTAAGTCTTCAGTGCTCTATGAAGCCATCACCTTTGCCCAGTGTGTAACAGCTATTGTGGAGAACTCTGTTTTGTTTAGTCATGCACTGAGACCAGTAACTAGAGAGAGATTCTGGCTAAACAGCCACATGAGACAGGAAAACATCTACAGGTTTACATGAGCTTTCTCAGTGAGAATGTCACCATGCAGATTTCAAAATTATTATGTAAATATATACCTAGCTCACTTGAAATCAAGGAGAAATCACAAGAGCACTATTTGCAAAGAACAATCCCTTGACAATATTTTTCTTGGCAGGCTGTAAGACAGCTCAAAATTTCTGTGGAAAATTAAAAATATTTACTGAAACTAGTTTGATAGAAGATAGATAAAAATACTTCAGAAGTACTCAAGATACAATAAAATAAAATATATTTTTCCTTTTACACATCATCTTAGTGACATATAATCTATCTTTACCAACTCCTACCAGCTATAAAGAAAAGAATAACCCTGGCTTTGTAGCAAGATTGCCTGAACTCAAAACCTGCCTCAAAACCACTTCATACAGTATAGACCTAAGTTATAAAAGCCTAAAACAAATAAGCAAAACCACTCTAGGAGAAGATCTGTGAGTTTGAGGTAGAAATGATTTTTGGGCTAAATCACAAAAAGTATGAACCATAAAAAAAAAAGATTATAAATTAGAATTCATCAAATAACTTCTGTAGTTGGGTGAGTGGGGAGTTGTTGACCACAAAGAAGCCTGTGAGAACTTTCCTAGTTTGGGAAATTCTATGTTTTGTTTATCATGCTGACTACATGGATATATGCATTTTTCAAAACTCATCAGGGCCGGGGATTTAGCTCAGTGGTTCTGCCTCCTGCCTCACAAATGCAAGGTCCCAAGTTTGATCCCTGGTACAAAAAAAAAAATCAAACTCTTTACTTAAGTATGTACATTATTGCGCGTAAATTTTGTCTCCAAAAGTTCCTCCTTGGTGGATATGGTGGCACAGGACTATAATCCAATCTACTTGAGAGGCTAAGGCAGAGATTGCAAGTTCGAGGACAGCCTGGGTAACTTAGTGAGACCCTCTCTCAAAATTAAGTCGTTCAGAAATGGGGGTTGGAGGTATAGCTCAGTGGTAGAGCACTTGCCTAGCACTATTGACTACTAGGGCACAAGGCCCTAGATTCAATCCCCATTACAAAAAAAAAAAAAAAAAAATCCTCCTATATTCAGACTTGAATTGTATTAAAAAATATGTGCAATTTCAGAAGATCTTCATAGCTTGTTTTCTGGATTTTAATAACTTTTTCATATAAGAAAATTGGTACATTTTGTTTTAGACAGTCTAGAATGTATTTAAAGGTAAGACATCTGTTTTCCTTTTTATGAATTTAGCTTGTACAAATAAGGAATCTAAATATGAAATTGAGTTTATGGGCAGATTTGTGTTTTTTTAAACCCCTTGTTACTGGTGACTGAAGGTGCAGTGTGGACGGGCGACAACACAGCAGAGTGGAGTTACCTGAAGATTTCCATTCCAATGTTGCTCACTCTCAGCATTACCGGGATCTCTTTTTGTGGAGGTAAGACAAGACCTCAAGGCTTGAAGTGTGTGTTTGTCAAAGCTGGTCACCAGTCACTTCTCAGTAGCTGTTTGGGGCAGGGATAAATGTGGGAAAGAGAAAATGGGAGAGAGTGAAGGGGAGCAGGTCACAGGAGAATGAAAGAGGGGCTTCAGATTTGCTTGTGTCTTGTGTGGATTAAAGACATGAAATGAGGTTGTCAGAAGGACAACCAGAGTGCTTCCTTCCCTGGTTCCCTTACCACTTCATCCTGGGATACACTTGATAATTGAGTTTTTCTTTCTGAAACATATATGGGGTGTGACCAAAATATACATGAATCTTTACATTTTAAAAAGTTATTACAGAAACAGACACACTGTTGTTAATCCCCCTACAATATACTCATACCTGTCTTATCACTCTTGCCACTTTCTGAAGCAGTTCTGGAAGTCCTCTTTCATGAGTGTTTTTACAAGGTGTGATACAAAATGTGCTGAATGCTGCTGCCAAGCACCATACCACAGAAAGGCAGGCTCATAAAAACATTTGGGTGTGTCCTTGTCCGCTTTACTCACCAGATCTGACACTATGCAGTTTCTGGCTCTTTTCACGTGGTCGTGAAAGGTAAATGTTTTGAATTGATTCAGGACATTGAGGGAGTAAAAACACTCGCCAAAGAGGCCTTCCAAAACTGCTTCAGAAAGTGGCAAGAATGATGGGATAAATGTTGTCAAAGCCAGGGGCAGTGTTTGGAGGGGGATTAATGGCCATGTGTCCGTCGTGGTCAATTTCTTGTTGGAATCCAATACCCAGCACACACAGCTTAAAAGAAGGAAGGCTCATTTTGGCTCACATTTTCAGTCCATAACATGCTGGCTACAAGGCAGGATGTCATGGCAGAGGGACATAACAAAGGAAAAACTACTCACATGGCAGCCAGGAACCAGAGGAGGAGCCTGGAAGGCAGATCTACCCTACCAGCTCACCCCACCGTGACCACCTCTTCTGACCAGACCCCACCTCCTAATAGGGAGTGAGCTATACCACTAACATAATCCAATTGCCTTCCAAACATGACGCTTTGGGGACTATTTTAATTCTAACCTATAACAGTATCTTTTGCTATAATTTAAAAAAAAAATTTTTTTGTACTGGGGCTCAAACTCAGGACCTTGTGCTTACAAGGCAGGCACAGTGCCACTGAGCTAAATCCCAGCCCCAATTTTTTTTTAAACACTCACTGTATTTTTCAGTCACACCTTGTTTTTTTTTTTTTTTCTTGAAAGAGAGACAGTAGAATGAACTACAAAGAATTTACAAAATCAAAAGTTAACCTAAGATAGGGGATAGAGTTCTGTGGTAGAGCACTTGCTTAGCATGCACAAGGTCCTGAGTTCAGTCCTCAGCACTGCAAAAAATAAAAAGTACGCCTTACAGAAATCCCTTCCACTTAGCAGATTCAAAATTCTGTCACATAATTTGACTATTTTTTTAAAGATATGCTCTTGAGAAAAATAAATTTAGTTAAGTGTCTCTGATGAATTGCCTTCCCTGCATCCTGAGATCTGCAGATGGAGATATCAAGGTGGAAAGTATGGCCGCAGTTCCAACTGCTTCTTGTTTTCTGCAGGAATAGAAACAATATCACTTTTTTAATATACAGTATGCATTTTATGGCATTGGTCCACATACCATATAAGAAATATATTCCCTGTTCAAGGGCTTAACATGAAATTCTACCAAAACTTCTTTTTTTTTTTTTGTACCAAGAATCAAACTCAAGGTCTCACACTTGCCAAGCAGAGGCTTCGCTGCCAAGCTACATTCCTGGCCCCCAAAACCTCTAATTCTAACTATTTGTTTCTCTCTAGTTCATTAATGTTTTTTTTAATGGTTCCTTTCAAAGGAGATCAACAACCTCTTCCCCACCACACCCCAGGCACAAGCACCCATTTACTCAGGCCAACATTATACAATTTCTGGGTAATGTGGGTTCAGGAACATACAGGAGTATAGATTTCCCAGGAAAGCCTGTGACCCTTTGACAAGAAAGGAGTGTTCAGAGAGTATTCTAACAGAGCCCCAGGAGGCAGAGTTCTCCCTGCATGTGCTCCTCTATCTGAGGCCATTTGAGTGTGCATACGTCATCTTCCTCTTGTCAGGTCTTCAGAGCCTTATTGTTTGGGGTTTTTTTGTTTTTTGTTTTTTGGGGGCTTTTTTTTTGAGACAGGGTCTCAGTATATAGTTGAGACTGATGTGGAACTCACTATGTAGCCCAGGCTTGTCTCGAACTCACAGGAATCCTCCTGCCTCAGCCTCCCAAGTGCTGGGATTACAGGCATGCGCCACCACACCTGGCCTTCAGAGCCTTCTTTTACTTGTGTGCAACTCTGATATGAATCCTAGTAACCTTACTTGCCTTTCTTTGCCTAACCAGCTGATGTGGGGGGCTTCATCGGGAACCCGGAAGCAGAGCTGTTAGTTCGCTGGTACCAGGCTGGGGCCTACCAGCCTTTCTTCCGTGGCCATGCCACTATGAGCACCAAGCGTCGGGAGCCCTGGCTGCTGGGGAAGGAGCATGCCCAGCTCATCCGAGAAGCCATCCGAGAGCGCTATACCCTTCTGCCTTATTTGTATTCTCTGTTCTACCAAGCACACATCACTTCTGAACCTGTCATGAGGTAAAAAGCACCCTGTAGGGCTAAGGATGTATCTTTTTGATAGAGCACTATGGAAAAAAGTGTCATGTACTCGGCCACAGTGACCAGTCTGTCTCCGGCCCTCTAGTAATTATGCACTAGAGTACATGCACAGTGATTTTAAGAGAAAAAAATGAAGAAAATCTATGTATTCTATCAAGCTTAATCCATGCATTGACTACCAACTGTGCAGAAGGTGCTGCTATTGAAAATGTAGAAGACAGCTAGGTTCCCTACTACTTGTGATTGAAGTGTTACTGTCTGCTAAGACACAGGAACAGAGACGGTTCAAAGAACAAGGAAGTGACCTTGTAGCTGAACTTGTTAGTATTTAACCTACATGCATCCTGTCATGAAGAATAGTTCACCTGCCAATCTTACCCTTAAGGCTGAATTCTTTGATGTGAGGTGAACTATTTCTTAATGTGCAAATTATAATTTTATTTTGAAAGCAAAATATGAAAAAACAACTTGCTAAGTTAGGGAAGAATACCCAGACAGCCATAACATACCAAGGCTTCAGGATTAGCAGTTCCTAAATGAGTGAGATCAGAATATCCTGGGAGTGTTTTAAATCTGCAGACTTTAGCTGCCACACTGTGAAAGCCTTGTAGGAATCTCCATAGGTAAGTCTTTGGGATCTGCATTTGTTAGCTGTATCCTGTGATCGTAGACATTGGCCAGGTCTAGTAATCATAGCTTTGTTACCATTCAGAATGAAATTAATATATTATTACAAAGGCTAGTGAATAAAAATGTTTCTCTTATTAAAAATAGCTTTGCTTCATGAAATAGAAAGATAACTAGAACTATGAAGTTAATATCCAGACACATAGATATTGAAAGGTTTATCTTCTGTGAACTCAAATGCCCTCCAGATAGTTGTGTGAAAAAGCAATCAAAAAAGAATACTGAGCCGGGCATGGTGGTGCACACCTGTAATACCAGCACCCTGGAGGCTGAGGCAGGAGGATCACTGAGTTCAAGACCAGCTTGGGCTACATAGTGAGTTCCAGGGCAGTCTCAGTAGTGAGACCCTGTCTCCAAAAACCAAAAAACAAACAAACAAACAAATACTGAATAATTTCTCAACCCCCCCCAAAATGTAGTGAATTTTTTCCATTTAAATACATGATTAAGTATTCATGACAGACAGTGACAGCAAGAAAAAATGGCACAAAATTATAGTCATTATAGAATATGTTTTTACAGACCTTCAGTTTATTTTATACCACACTTTAGGCATCTGCGCTTATATGAAGCTTTGATTCTTCCAATAGCACAGCATTTCATGCTCAGTAATCATAAGGGAAAATTGCAGGTTCCAGAAACATTTGCATTAATACCACATATTACAAATATAAAATAATCATAGCAATTGCTCATAAAGTCTTGAATTATATAAAAAGAAACCTGTTTGTTTTGTTTTGTTTTGTTTTGGTGCTTTCCAATTTCCTTTAAGTAGTTATAAAACTAAAATTACAAAAATCTAAGAAAAGGTGTAATAAAATATCTAATGAGGTTAAAATGTATATTTTTCTCTTTCCCCAGGCCTCTGTGGATAGAGTTCCCTAATGAAGTAGAAACTTTTGGCATAGAAGATGAATACATGCTAGGTGAGTATTTATTAATTAGAGTTATGATAAGTTCTATAATTATGTTTTTATATTTTCTGATAGAGAACACTTTAACCATATCTAGTCCCAAGAAAGTCAAAAATAAAACTGAAAGACATTCCTTCACCAAGATTTTTAATACATTAATGGGGTCATAGCTCTATTCTGTCCATCCTTCCTTTGATTGATTGATTGGTACCGGGGATCGAACTTGGACCCTTCCGCTTGCAAGGCAGGCAGTGGAGCCACTGAGCCAAATTCCCAACCATCACTCTCTTCTGTTATAATGTATCACTTGTAGTATTCTTGTCAACTTCAAATAAATCCATTCTATTTGTGGGAGTAATTTCGGATTTTTATTTTGAGTCCACTCTTCTAAACACTGTGAAATGACTACAGGGAAGGCGTGTAGAAAAAAGTAGATCAGAGGGTTATAGTACAGAACTGCAAGAGTCTGTGTCAAACATAATAAGCTTCTTCTTTAATAAAGATTAACCCTCACATATGGAATTTAGAGCTTCATCATTGTAGAACAGGGCTCAAGAAGTCAGGCTAAAGATTGAGTTGCCAAGGGTGAATCCCTTTTCTAAACAGTTAAAACTTCCAAATGTAAAAATAGAAAGAGCCCAGGGCTGGAGTTGCAGCTCAGTGGGAGGTCACTTGTTTAGAGTGTGCAAGGCTTCAGGTGCCAGCTGAAATCACTGTCTGGGAGAAACTTCCTTGACTACTCCTGTTCTCCGCATACTTAATTCTACCCTCCCTAGTCAATCAGTTCTTCCTATCACATAACTTTCATTTCATTTTGTAATTTTGCCTCTAATTAACTTGTAATTCTCTATTAGCACCTGTCTTCCTTTACTATAAACTCCCAGAAGGCAGGGACTATGCTTGCTTCATTTGCTGCTCTATCCCCAGAGCCTAGAATGGTACCTGGGACTTAGTAAGCACTCATTCAGTAATTACATACTGAGTAAAAAAAAAAAAAATGAATTCACAAAAGGATGGATTTTATAAATGCATAGTGCCAAAATCAAAGCCAGATTAGTCGTCTAGATTAGAGAGAACCACACTGTCCTGATGATGACCACCAAGCAGAGGGACCTGCATGGCCACCCTGAGCACCCTCTGGGTAGCACTTGTGGGCTCACTGCCATCAGCATCCCTGGTAGCAAGCAGTGCCACACCCATGAGAGAGAAGTGCAACGTGCTGTGGGATTGGTGAGACTGTGACAGGCCGCCTCAGGTCTCTTCCCCCAGATGCCATATGGACTCATGACATGTGGTTCCTCAGCCATGTCTTTGAGCCCCTGTCCTCTTTGTAACAGTGACTCTCTGACAGCTCATTGCTTCAGATGGCCGTGTTCCTTGCCTTATGAAGTGCATGATCTTCTGAAGCACAAGTGCTCAATTAAATGGAAAGGGTGTTTTCAGATTTCTTACAATGACAGTTAAATTCTTTGTCTTCTCCATTTTTTAGGAAGTGCCTTATTGGTTCATCCAGTCACAGAACCAAAAGCAACCATGGTTGATGTATTTCTGCCAGGATCCAATGAGGTAAGAGTAATAAAGTGTGTGGCCTGGGATTTGGCTCAGTGGTGCTGCTGCCTGCCTTGCAAGTGCAAGGACCTGAGTTTGATCACCGACACCAAAAAAAAAAACACCAAGAACACACTTCAAATGTCTGTGCAACTAATGATTTCTTAAGTCATGGCCACTGTCCTCAGTGGTCAAGAAATGTAACGAAAGAGAGAAGGGGGAAAGATGACTAAGGGCATCTTTCCAGGTACATGATGGGTTTTTTTGTTGTTGTTTTGGGGGAGTTGTTTTGCTTGTTTTCTTGTTTTTGGTACTGGGGATGGAACTCTGGACCTTGCACTTGCAAGGCAGCAGAACCACTTAGCTAAATCCCCAGCCCCACATGATGGTTTCTATCTTCACATTTTTTCTTTTATATAAATAAACTTTATCTCACTCCCCCCTCAAACCCCCTCCCCTCCTATGTACAAAAGCTTTATTTCCATTTTTTTCCTTCTATTTTTACATGTCACTCCCTTTCTCCCTTCCTCCTCCCTTGTTCCCTTCCCATTTCCCAATATCCATTATACATCCCAGTCCTTATTTCCACTTTCAGTTTCTCACACCAGAGAAGCAATCTTAGAGTTTTGTCTTAAGTGAGTCTTCATAAGCACAGTGAAGCTTAGGGTAGGAAGAAATCTTCAGTCAACTATGAGACAGCAAACTCAGGCTGGGGATGGGAAACATAAGTATAAAGGGATTTTGCTCTTTGGTTCTGGCTCCCTCTAAATCCTGAGTTCTGACAACAAAACCTTGTCTCTGGACACTCACATAAGTGTAAAACACACATTTTTCTTCCTTCTCTACCTGTTAGCCTTTATCTGCGCTGTTAGTAGTTATTGTCATTGCTTGTCATCACTGTACTCCATAAAATGCCATCCTGGATCTGCTGAAGCCCAGGGTACAGTCAAAAGGTGGGAATAACCACGGTCTGTAGAGCAGAGATTACGTATATATCCAGAGAGGCCCAGAGAAGACTCAGAGAAGAGGCATGAGGTGTCAGCGTGGAATGGAGAGTAGGGAGGGATAGACTAGAGAGAGCCTTGCACATTGGAGCATTGCCCAGGCTGGGGAGAGCCCTGGAGGACCTGGCAGCTGGGCATGGCCGTGTCTAGGTAGTCCTTTTATGTTTTGTTTTTTTTTTGTACCGGCTATTGAACTCAGGACCTTGTGCTTGTGAGGCAGGTGGCAGCACTGCCCCGGCCCGCGGGGTCAGTAATTGGCAGAGCTCGAGAAGGGGAAGTACCTGGAAATGAGACAAGAGGGGCGCGGAAAGAAGGAGACCAAGCAAAGAGTTGTCAAGGTCTCATTTATTTGCAGATACAGGCAGTTTATAAAGGCAAAAACCGCAAAATTGTAAGAGGAAATAGTTAACCATAAACTTTGGGAGGAGAATGTAACAGTAGTATAACACAATGTTACTATGTAACAGATCAGGTCACTTGTCTGCGCAAACCCGTTGTCATGGGTAACGACACAACTGTGGTGGTGGGGTGATCAGCGGGTCAACATGGAGGCTGTTTGGTTTTTACTTAGGACAGGCTAGCAGCTTAGTCTACCACACAGCACCACTGAGCTAAATCCTCAGCCCCTAGAGAGTCTTTTTGAGGAGCTCTGTTAGGCCTTCCACATTTGGCATTATTGATGACAATAACTAGGCTTTTCTCTGGAAGGTTCATGAACTGTGGTCTTTCTTTTTGGTTTCTTCTTGGTTTCTAATTGTGAAGTCAAGGGCTCCTTACAAAGGTTCTTGTGCCAAGTGTAAACCTGAGGAAAAGGTTAAGTTACAACAGTAGCTAAATAAATGCCCTGCTAGCGTGTCCAGTCAGTGTCTCAAGTTTATTCTGACAAAAGAATGGCTCCATGAAGAGGAGCTGGCTTCCTTCCAGACACAACCAAGAGTCTTTACTAATGACCTGTCACCACTGCAGACACATCCTTGTGACTATGTACTACATTCCTTCAGCACTTTCCCAGAGTGTTCTATGATTGCTTCTCTTGCTATAGTTTTGCAAACCCTAGATAAAAGAGCCATGCCATTTCTTGCCAGATCTGCCCCCTTACTGTGATTAGCTAGCTGCCATATGTATATAGCTGTACATATACACATGCATATGTTTATTACGTTCCTCTCCCATGTGAGTGTGAACCCCTGGAAGGCAGCAGTTTTAATCTCTCAGGTTCACTGTCACATCCCCTCACCTATCTGGATTCCTGGCATGTAGTGACCCTCATTAAGCACCTGCTGACTGAGGGGCTGGGGACTGAGGTCTGGATCTGACCTTCATAGTGTTTTGCACCAATTATACCTTCCCTATTTGGAGATCTTTGTAGGTGGTGCCAGAGCACAAACACTGTACCTTTCATTTAGTTTTTCTGGAAGTGGTAGTCATGCAATCCTAAACCTGTTGGCATCATCTTTATACTTTTCACCCCAACAGCTCTTTACCCAAAGCTTGTGGAATTGGCCAGAGAGTAATGAGAAAGCCAGAGGAGGACATACGAGAAAAGAAAGCTGAGATCGTGTCGCTCATGAACACAGACACCAAATCTTTGACAAGATCTTAGTAAATTGAATCCTGCCAAGGGTGACACATCATGACTGCAGAGGGGTTTAGCTTGTTGAATTAAGAGTCCATTGGGGATGTCACAGTACTGTCGCCTTCACAGCAGGACAGGAGATCCAGCACCTCTGCTATACACAGGAGGTGGCACTCCCAGGAGGAGCACTAGTGACACAGACTCTGTGGTTGCCAGAAAGTGCACTAGGCTAAAAGAGAGAAACAGGTGTTTGTTCTCACACTGCTTTCGAAAGTATTTTAAGGATTAATCCTGCCGCAGCATGATTTGATGGGACCCTTTTGGTACTTCAGCAGCTAACTCCTAGTCAGAGCCTGTCACTGAACTGCATTGTTGTGAAAGGGGAAACTAGAGATAAAAGTTCTCCCAAATTTGTTCCTTCACTGATGCTTTCTTTTCTGCTGCCTCATTTGTCTTCAGTCTGTACTCTTCTTCTTGCTCTTTCTTTTTTTCCTTTTTATCATGTTGTTTACTGGTAGATGTGTTCAGTTTTTAAAAACCAAGTGGACTGTAAGGACCATGGGAGTTATGTCTTTTCACGCCTGTGGAGATCTTAATTATCTTGTACACCCAACACTACCCTGGGGGCAAGTTGTTCAGTAAATAACTTTGGAGCCAGGTGCCGTGACTCACACCAGTAAGCTGCAGCTACTCAGGAGGCTGAGGCAGGTTCAAAGGACAATTTAGCACAACCCTGTTTCAAAATAAAAAACAAAAGAGGTTGGAGATGTAGCTCAGTCGCAGAGCACTTACCTAGTGTGGGCGAAGCTCTGAATTTAATCCCTAGTATTGCCAAAAAAAAAGAATGTGTAGGTGAAAACAAATGAATGGCTTTTAGAATCACTGTCTCTTAGGAATCATCTTAACAGCATATGTTCTTCCTAACTTCTACCCAAGGTAAATTTATACTTTATAGCTTGGCATGGTGGCGCACGCCTGTAATCCCAGCACTCGGGAGGCTGAGGCAGGAGGATCTCTTCGAGTTTGAGACCAGCCTGGACTACATAGTAAGTTCCAGGTCAGTCTCAACTACATCGTGAGAGACCCTGTCTCAGAAAACAAAACAAAACAAAAAAAATAATCCTTTATATTTCTGGGCTTTTTGAAATACAGTTAAGTGAACATTTCCTGAATAAAGAAAGTGTGAGCAGAGTTACTTATTTATCGTTTTTCAGTGATGTCTGTTACTTTTTAGATCTGGTATGACCCTAAGACATCTGCTTGCTGGGAAGGAGGACATACTGTGAAGATCCCAGTAGCCCTGGATACTGTGAGTCACTTCCGGACTATTGCTTCTACCTGCCTCATTACTCTTCTCCAACTCCCATAGAAAAATACCACAGACTTGAGGGCTTAAACAGCAGAAATGTATCTCACTGTTCTGAAGGTGGAAGTCCCACATCAAACTGCCAGCTGCTTTGGTTCCTCATAAGAGCCTCTTCCTGACTTATACACGTGACACGGAGAGAGGGAGGGTGAGAAAGCAGGAGAGCACAGACAGTGCCTAAGCTTCCCTGTCCCTATAAAGACACCACTATCAGAGGAGGGCCCTACTCTATGACCTCATTTTTAACCTTAATTACTCCCACAAAGGCCCCATTTATCCCTAAATACATTCACATTGAGGTGGGGTCTCAATACTTGAATTTGAGGGGACACAAACAATCTCTAACATGTTTCTGCAGACAAGTAAGTATGTTAGTGTTTCCACATCATAATGCCTGCATACAGAGGCAGGAAGGGAGGCTGGGGTGGGCATGGAGTACAGATCATGGGGCTAACTGCTTATGAAAACAGGTTTCTTTTGAGGGTACTGGAGATATTTTAAAATCAGTTATGATGATGGTTACATGACTGGATATACAGAAACCTGTTTAAGTGTGCACATTAAATGTGAATTTATAGCATATTAATTGTATCAATGAAGTTGTTATAATATGAGGGCAAGAGTTGGTAAAAAACACTGGGGATAAACATAATTCTTCCTCATATGTTGACATTGAAAATAAGAAAATACATTGAAAAGAGAAATGGCAATCACCCTGTGTGCCATAAAAAAATGTCCTTGTACAGGACAAAGTAAAAATGAGTTTTTGAGCCATGTGTGGGGGTACACACCTGTAATCCCAGGAGGATGAGTCAGGAGGATCATTGTGAGTTCAGGGACAGCCTGGGCTACATAGTGAGTTCAAGGCCAGTCCAAATGACACAGTAAGACCCTGTCTGAGGAGAAAGGAGAAAAAAAACCAAAAACAAACAGGTTTCAGGTGTAACTATTGGCCTTCAGGCCCAAGGGAATACATCTATTATGATGTTAGACTCAAAGCTCATTTGGGCTTTCCTGAGTTTCTGAAAGGAAGTTTCTTCCTGAGCCGAATCATAACTGTGGGGGTGTTGGCCAGAGGTAGGTATGAGATGGATATGCAGAGAGATAAGGGACTCCTGGGGCTATAAGCCCAAATCCTTCCAGAATGCATGTTTACCCTTTAAAGATGGCTTTAAGGGCCACAGGTGCAAGTAGGGTCAAACACTGCCTTAAGGAATGAATGCTTTCTCCTCCCCATGCTTGTCTTTATCACATAGACTGGTCCTAAGTTCAGTCTTATAATAGACCACTCTGACCTTCCCCATCCTTCCCGTCCCTTATGTGAATTCCAGCACAGACATCCTTTTCTGTCCTTTATCCTTGCTCCCTGGTTCTATCTATAAAAAGCCAAGAAGCTTCAGTTAGGGGCTCCCTTTTACCTCTGTTAAGGCAGCCCCTCTTGTGCCCTCTTAGAGTTCAAGGTGCACATGGACTCTGCGTATTCTCTCATCCTTTGTGCTTACCACAGTCGTGAGCTGCAACGCACAACCACTGCCACAAGTCCTGAGTGGCTTGAAATAGCGGTGTTATTTTCTTAAGTTTGTCAGTAGTGTTATTGCAAAGAAGGGTTTTTCATATATCAACTCTCAGATCCAAAAGAGACCTTACTAATTGTTTACTCCAGTCCTTCACACTTACAGGCTCAGAGAAGTTCAGTTACTTGACCAGGGTTGTGCCAGAACTGAAGTGGGCCCCTGTTTGCTGGATTCCTGGTCTATAGTCCATTCTACTATAACAACTGCCTTGTTCTTAAAAAAAAAAAAAAAAAAAAGTAACAATACAATAAGAAAGAGAGAGATTGCCCAATTAAGGGGAGTGTGAGGGAGATAGATGTGCTTTACTTCTTGCTGCCACCTGCAAGTTAAACAGAGGTGACATCTGAAGTATTTCACCCTCATCCCCAACTTCTTAAATGCTTATATACGCTTCTCCTTACTAGCATTTTACTTCAGACAAAATATAAGCCCTCATCTCATCCAGCAGCCGCCTCACCCAAGACAGGAAACCCAAAAAAAAGTGCCACTCCAGAATGCCAATAGTATGTACCATGCCCAAGGCTATGTTGTGAGAAGGACTTCAAGAACCCTTGATGGGGCTGGGGATTTAGCTCTGTGGTTCCGCCACCTGCCTCACAAACACAAGGTCCCAAGTTTGGTCCCCAGTACCAAAAAAATAAAAAGTAAAATGCTTGATGGTTCTATAACAAACAGTGTCATAGATTTGCCCTAGAATTGGGTCATCATACTGGTTATCGGTTTAGGGAGCAAGAAGTATATGGGCAGTGAAGAAGAGCAAAAGTTACTGCCCCAAACCAAGAAACCCATTGCACTCATACGTACACAATTGCCTGAGCCCACTTAGACTATCAGGAAAGATATTCTGCAGCAGAGCTCTAGTATAGAACAGGAACACTAAAAATATAAAAGCTGGGTGAGGTGGTGCACACCTGTAATCCCGGCACTTGGGAGGCAGAGGCAGGAGGATCGCTGCAAGTTCAAGGTCAGCCCAAGCTACATAATGGGTTCAGGGCCAGCCTAAACTACAAAGTGAGACCCTGTCTCAAAAAAAAAAAAAAAAAGCAGCAAAAATATAAAACAAGAAGGCCAGTATGAGATAGGTAGATAGGGTTCATCATGAGAAAAAACAGCAAAGATGGGTATATATAATAAAGCAATGAAGGGTAGGCAGTTTCCCAAATAATTAAAGAAATGGGCTATTTTTAGTTGAGCTCTTTTGTAATAACCCCAGGTCTACCACATTTGTCATCTCAGTGCCTGCAAGTTTGTTTTGCCTTTGAGACTATACTTGTAAAGAATGTGACTCTTATACATGGAACTACCCTAAAATTGTACTCTGAAGTTTGCTTTGTGAATGCGTTACCTGAGAGGTTGCTCGGTTGCAGGTACCAGTGTTTCAGCGAGGCGGAAGTGTGGTGCCAGTAAAGACGACTGTGGGGAAGTCCACAGGCTGGATGGCTGACACCTCATATGGACTCCGCATGGCTCTGAGCACTAAGGTATTGGGAAGCCTCTCTCTCTGCAGTGGGGCCTTCAGAGGGCATGACAGCTTGTGAAAGTGGGGAGCCCCTCTATGTGACAGGTGTGTCTGATGTTTGTCTAGAAATGAAGGTTCTGAATCATTGCCCAGCTCATCTGTCCTTCCCAAATTGTTCTTAAGGCAACACTGATCCCCTGGAACGATAGAAATGTCCTTCCCAGGTGTGTAACTATTATTGGGGCTCTTTAGCTCACTGAAGCCAAACACAGCCCTGTGGATTAGCCCTGAAACCAGTCTCCGGTTGCAGGGTACCTGTGTCTATTGGCCATTTCAGGGACTCCAGCTCCATCCACTAAAGGACTTCTATTCTCATCAGGTGGTCCAAGCAACTAAAATCTCCTTGAGTAAAGTCTGGGAATGTCTGGGATAGATTTGTCCTTTTAAGATCTTTTGAGCCAAATGAGGCCTATAGCAGATTTCCCTCCTGTCCATTTGCCAAACACTAATTCTTACTTTTACTATAATAACACTTATTCTTATCATTGTACAATTTTTTTTTTTTTTTTTTTTTTTTTTTTGGTACCAGGGATGGAACTTGAGACCTTGTAGTTTTGAGGCAGGCAGCGGAACCACTGAGCTAAATCCCCAGCCATGCTTATTCTTGTTTACATTAATATTATAAAATAAATTCTCGCTTTCTTTTCCATCTGTTTTGCTTACACTGCCTTCCTGGGTCTCCTCAGTATAGGCTTTGGACGCTGTGAAGTCCCAGAGTCAGTGCAGGAGCCTAGGGGGCTGAAGCACATCCAGAACTGTTGATGATGATAACCTGCCTTGGGGAGAACTCTGATGTGCAGAAGGGATCCTCCTACTAAAAAAGCAGGAGCCAGATACCATCCTCTAAATGGAAGATCTGTTCTTTTCTGATCTTTTTTTTTTTAACTTTGGTTTCATTCTTTGAACTTCTTGGCTCTGTTGCATGTTCTGATAGTATTTTCAGGAAAGCCACTGACCATCCTTGACATATTTTTCATGATTTTTTGAAGTTATTTCCCTTTAGGGACTGACATCTCTTCCCATAAAGCTGCTACACAGGCATGTTCTCTGTGACCTACTCCCCAGGGTTCTGCAGTGGGAGAGTTGTATCTGGATGATGGCCACTCATTCCAGTACCTCCACCAGAAGAAGTTCTTGCACAGGAAGCTCTTGTTCTGTTCCAGTGTTTTGACCAACAGGTAATAGCAGCTAAAGAAGTTGTGTACACTCCTAAATCATACTGTCATCTTGGCATCCTGACATACGTGCATAGCTGATACTCTCCATTTCTACTCAAGTGCAAAGCCGTCTGAGGAGTATTTTTCAGTTGTGCTATCATCAATGTTTCTTGGTGTCCCCTTCTTCATTTCTGCACTCTAAAAAGTAAAGAGGACTCAACTTAACTTCCCATTAATTCCATTCAATCTTTCAGTCACTGTTCATCTGATTTCTTACAATGTGATTACAATATTCTGGTCACATTTGTGATTTTGTATTTTTCAGTGATTTTACTCCCAGTGGCATGCTGAAGGGAGGTTGGCCTGGCTACCTGTTACCTAGTCCAAGACACAAAAAGTCAGCTTTTTTTCACCTCTTCATCTTAGTTAGTAGGACTAAATAAATCAGAAGAAATGGGGGGGGAACTTAAGGGTGGAGACATTATCCAATTCAAACTGTCAGCCCTCTCCTTCTCCTAATACCACTTGTATCTATTCTAGTTGTGCTGACGAGAGGGGACATTTTCCCAGCAAGTGTGTGGTGGAGAAGATCTTGGTCTTAGGCCTCAGGAAGGAACCATCTTCTGTGACCACCCACTCATCTGGTGAGGAAACTGTCCTTATCTCCTGCATGAAGGGGGCCATCTTGCTCTTCTTCTATGCTGTTAATATGTTCCCAGGGGAGAAGACTTAGGGCTTGAAGTAATATGATAGGTATACCTGTATGTTTTTATACTATGGATATTGAAAGCCTGGAGAGTACAATCCATGTTTAGGGTGCAGAGGATGGGAATTATATCTTGCTAAGTGAATTTTGTAGGGAAATCACTTTGTTCCTTAAGTTTCTTTTCAACCAGTGTTGCACTCAAACAGTGAAGTTTTTCATGTTTTAAAAAATTTGTGTGGTGCATGCCTATAATCCTAGCACTTGGAAAGCTGAGGCAGGGAGATCGCCACAAGTTTGAGGCCAGCCTGGGCTCCATAGTGAGTTCAAGGCCAGCCTGAATTACAGAGTGACTAATTCATTAATTAATTTTAAAAATGAGTAAAGGTGAGGGCTGGGAATTTAGCTCAGTGGCACCGCACCTGCCTTGAAAGTGCAAGGTCCTGAATTCAATCCCTGGTACCATTTTTAAAAATGAATAAAAATGCATGAATTAAAATACTATTAAAAATGGATTATCCTAGCTGGGCGTGGTGGCACACACCTGTAATCCCAGCATTAGGGAGGCTGAGGCAGGAGGATGGCTGTGAGTTCGAGACCAGCCTGGGCTACATTGTGAGTTCCAGGTCAGTCTCAACTACATAGTGAACCCTGTCTCAAAAACCAAAAAAAAAAGGATTATCCTAAGTGAGGTATAAGGTCTTATAATAGCCTCAGGAAATATGTCAGATTTGAATAAAAGATTTTTCCTTGCTTCGTATTCCTGAGTCTCTCCTTGTCTCTGTACAGATGGGAAAGCTCAGCCGGTGGCTTTTGTGTATTGTGCTGGTACTTCCACATTGAGCCTGGAGAAGCTTTCCCTGAACATTGGTGCAGACTGGGAAGTCCACATCCAATGAGAGAGTGGCTGGCCACACACACAGGAGTGGCCTGCACCTTACAACCCTTGGCCTTTTTCAGGATTTGTGCTGCAGCCTGATGAGCTTCCCTTGGTGGAGAGTGATCTTCCACTGGTCACTAGTGTACTAATAAACAGTGCATTGCACATTTTAAGAGTTGAGGTCTTACATATTCCAATGTATGAGTGTTGCTCTTTATGTAAACACCACCGGTCTCACAGACCCTCAAAGCTCAAGACATGGACAGAATTTGTGAGTTTCCATTGCTTCCTGGGCCACAGCCCCAGGAGCCGCTCTCCTTGCCAGGTAGCCTGAGGGCTTCCGTGAGGCCAACACTCTGGTGCAGCAGCAGAGCTCCCAAGGCTGCAAAAGCTGGCCAACCTGGAGGGGCAGACAGGTCCTGTGGGTACCGCACCCTACCGCAGAGGGAAGTGGTTCTCCACAAGAGACTGACTCACCGGGAGCACAGGGTGGTCTTCCTTTCATGCTTCTTGGGTTCAGAAGTTCCAAATTAAGCTTCTTACAATTCACATTTTTCATATCTTTTATTAAATGCTGTCTAGTAACCAAAGAGTATTTAGAACATGAGCAAACTATGATTAATAACAATGAAATAAATACCTGTGGCTCCACCACTGAAACTTCAGAGACAGCCCAGGGCTAAATCTAGGGTAAGACAGGTGAGACACTTGCCTCAGGCACAATCAGTAATCAAAAGTACTTTGCTGCATTATTTTTTAAAATCAAAATTAATGCAAAAGATACTCATGCTGAGCAGGGATTTAGCTCAGTGGTACTGCACCTGCCTCGAAAGCACAAGGTCCTGAGTTCAATCCCCAGTACTGGAAAAAAACTCATGCTGAATGAAATATCAAATTTTAAAATAACAACCGGCTCAGTGGGGCTGCGTTTTCCTTCCTCCTCAAGCTCTGGGATGCCTGGTGCAGGACAGAACTGGGCAGTAGACCAGCTGCTTCTAGAAGCTCTGCTTGGAGACCCACTGCCACCATGTGCACCATGAGACAGCTCAGTGCTGTCTTCTCAGGCCACCCCTCTGGGCTACTTAGAACTACCACACATGTGCCTTCATTCACTGGGCCTCAGTCTCCTTCCCTCTTGATCCAGACAAATCCTCCCATCCACTTTTCTGGTAAACCTTTTTAACTGACCCACTGTGCCAGCTCCACGGTACCCAGCAGCCATGAGCTTGCCCCTCTGAGAGGTCCACACTTGGCAGTTGTGTTACACTTCCGTTCTCGGGAACTATGCCTTAATGTTTAAGTATGTCTGTCTCCTACTCCCCAGATGTCCCTTGAGAGCATATTACATTTCTGTTACCCACTAGAGCGCCACTGCATTTGGTTTTTGGTAACTATTGTCTGTGATTGGCTAATTGATGGATTTAATTGATTAAGGGACCACTGAATACATTTACTTCTGATTTGCTTTTCTGACACAATATTCTAACCAAATATATCAGTTGAGGTTTTAACTTTATAAGTAGGCATATAGGCAAGCAGATCATTTGCTTCTGTTTTGGTATGTTTTACAACTGAGGAGAAAGGAAAATCCTACATTAAAGTCATAGATGCAAGCTTCAAATTTCCTTTAACCTAAAATAAGACTTAGCCTGAAAACTAAGTGTTCTTTCCTAATGGCTTTTGTTGTACTCAGGGTTTTGGCAAGGGAGAACATTTAATACAGGACACATAGTATATAGGACTATTTTATGATGTTTACCTAAAAAGGCAAATAGAGGAGTGCATGAGATTAACCACACACTAGAGGTCCACATAATCCAGCCAAGGGTCAGGATCCCACAGCAGTGTCCCACACAAGTCCAGCTAAAGACCTAGGATCCAAAGCAATGTTGCCCACAAGTCCAGCCAATTGACCTAGAGCCCCATACTGAGGATCTGCACCTGGAAGGCCCAAAGGCCAGTGGTGGAAGCCAGAAAACCTATTCCAGTGGGGCAAAGGATTTGTGCCAGCAGGCTGAGCCAGGAGGTGATGCTCATGGTAAAGATTAGAGCTTCCCTGACAAGAACAGCAGCAATTCCCAGTGACCATGAGGCCCTGAGCGTCTCCTCCTACGATAACAGCCAAGTTTGCATCAGGAAAACTATCCGCAGCAAGCTTCTCCTAGAAAATCAACAGCCCATGATCTTCTCCAGTTCTCTTTTTATGGCTATTGGTAACAATCCTCAGGTGGATCTCCCACACCCAGACCACACTGATTCAGTTCCGCTGGGTATTACAAGTGACCCATTAGTTAATCCACCACAGCTTTTAATAACATTTAAGACTTAATCATTAAAAACTATCTTCAGGCCCAGCATGGTAGTACACACCTGTAATTCCAGCACTTGGGAGGCTGAGGCAGGAGGATCACTGTGAGTTTGAGACCAGCTTGGGCTACAGAGTGAGTTGAAAGCCAGCCTGGAATACATAGCAAGAAACTGTCTCAAAAAAAAAAAAAAATCCTTAGACCAATATTCATTGTGTAGATATTCAGAAAAACTGTCAAAAAAAAAAAAAAATCCTTAGACCAATATTCATTGTGTAGATATTCCATTTAAAATAGTTTTAAAGAGAGGACATAAGAACAAATAGAGTAAGTTAGCAAGGAACTACTCTATCTTGACCCAAATCTACACTGAAAGGTTTGCCAAGCAGTCAAGAGAATGTGAGTATTTGTAGCTTTTCTGCTCACACTGCTTCCTACCGCTCCTGCCTGGAGCCAGAGGACCGTGCAACCCTGTTGGCCTGCAGGCATTCAGCTAACTTGCTTGGTGATTCTTGACGTGTTTCCATAGGAAACTGGACTTTATGTAAGAAATTAGAATCGTGTCACCAGAGATTTTAACAGAGCTGCACAATGAATGCTTAGCTTATATCTTCAAGACTTAAATGCAAAGGAATAAATTGACAACTCAGTTTAAAAACAGGAACTGGTCAACAGAAAAATGGACAAAGGTAAACAAAAAAAATAAGTTAAAACCAACAAAATAAGCATGCGAAAGAAACTGTCTCATTAACAACCAAATAAATGATTTTACACTTTGCTTTCTTGGCCAAGATTAAAAAGAATGAAAATGTCCAGATCTAATGTGCGTGTGGGAAACGTGCACTCTTGCACATCACTGGTAGAATTATAACAAGTGTCATCTTTTAGGACAGCAGTGGTATCAAAACTTCATTTTATTTATTATTTATGTATTTTTTGGTACCAGGAATTGAACTCAGGACCTTGGGTTTGCAAGGCAGGTGGCAGCACCACTGAGCTAACTCCCCGGCCCTCAAAATTTTAAATTTGTGTGCACAGAAACTCCACTTCAGACAAGTTAGACAAATGCTCAGAGCCACTCTCTGCAATGTGCTTTATAGGGTGGAAAACTGGAAAGGAGCTAGATGTCCTTTAACATGAGCATTTGTTACAACAGCATTTCTGTGTAAGGGAATAGTATGTAACCATTAAAAATAATGATCTACATTTATGTATCAGCATAGAAATGTTTCTGAATAAATGTTTACTTAGTGGTTCCATCTGAGCAAAAGTTAGAATGAAACAGTCAACTCTGAAGGAAACTGCATAATTTTCAAAACATGAAAACCACAAAACACAGGTCTGAGGAACTGTTGCAGATGGAAAGAAACTAAAGAGACATCACCACATATGTGTGACCTGAGGTTGGGTTCGAGGCCTATAAAGGACATGGTTAGGACAATTTGGCAGCATTCTGAAAGGCATCTTTTGATTGCATAGTGATTTTTCTAATTTTGAGGACTGTGGCTTATGATATAGAAGAACTGCCTTGGGTTCTGGCAAACAGTGGAGTTCAGTGGCATGCAGCCCTTTTAATATTGATCTCAGGTTGCCAGGCAGCAGAAATGCAGTCAAATACAGATCCCTGGAGCTTCGTGGTTTTTAGCTCATAATGAATCTTCCTGCCTAAAAGTTCTTGGTGATGAGACTTCCATGACAATGTCATGCACTACTACCAAACTACAGGGGGCCCATGATATTAAAATACCTCCTCAGCCTGGTGGGGAGAAGTCATGCTGAAAACACAAGGAAGGACGCAACAGCCAGCATTCCAGAAGAAACAAAGCAGATGTCAGACCTGCTTATCCACCGACTGATCTTGCTAAAGGCTGTGCTGCCACAGCAAGTCCTGGTGACACTAGACCACTGCTCCTTGACAAGTGCTACCTGCAGTGCTGGTGGAATCAGAGTCCTGCCGTAGCATGTAGGAGAGAGAGCCCTGACTATCTGTGCAGAGATCTCACAACCAACTCATCTCAATGGAGGAGTTTTAGCCATCCATTCACTTCTTCACTTTGGTTCCGCAGTCAGCTAGCTGAGTGATCCTGGCCAAGCCACTTAACCTATTATGGGCTTGGTTTCCTCATTTGTTAAAGATAACAGATCATCTCTAACTTCTGAGTTTTCCATGATCTAGCTATAAAGATACAGCACATATCTCATTTCCTTGGTGGCAAAATGGAATTAAACCTACAGTGTGGTTCTATAGACTGAAAATAACTCTACATAGATAAAAAGGAAAACAGTACCTTTACAGCAGAGAAAAACCAGGGGCCACTACCTTGGTCAAATGATCAAAATACGCACAACCTGTAATAAAACAGTTATGCACTGCCAAATAGGACTTGCAAAGGACACATTGCATCTGTGACATTTCTCTCTAAATCCATAACCTTGATCCAATCATGTGAAAAACACCAGACAAACCCAAATCCAGGGAGTTTTTTTTGTTTTGTTTTGCAGTACTGGGGATCGAACTCAGGACCTTGCACATTTTATAAAATACCTGAGAGTGGCTATTCAGAAGGGTCAGGATCAGGGCCAGGGATGCTCAGTGGGGCCACACCTGTCTGGCAAGTGCAAAGTCCTGAGTTTGATTCCTGGTGCCAAAATAATACAAACTGCCAGGTGTGGTGGCGCAGGCCTGTAATCCCAGCACTCTGGAGGCTGAGGCAGGAGGATCATTGAGTTCAAGACCAGCCTGGGCTACATAGTGAGTTCCAGGTCAGTCTCAACTACATAGTGAGACCCTGTCTCAAAAAACAAAACAAACAAACCAACAACAAAACCACAAAAAAAAATATATATATAAACAAATAAAAATAAAAAAGAAGTAACAGGATCATGAGAGCCCAAGATTGTGGAATCATTAGACTGGAGGACACTAAGGACTGCTATCTTTACAACTCTTATAGGAGTCTAAAATTACTTTTTAAGTTGCATTTTTTGGGTTTTTTTGGGGGGTACCAGGGATCAAACTCAGGCCCTTGCACTTGTGAGGCAGACGCTGGACTTTTTAAGTTTTTTAGAGGACTCAGCATGAAGTAGCTAGCTCTCAGTAGGTACTTAGTGAATGGTAGGTGTTGAGAGTAAACAAATAGATTGCTTCTGATAGTGTTAATCAAAGTGATAATTTGGAGGGCCGAAGAATAGGATAAGGAGCCATTAGCTGGCACTGTTGGCTGAAATATGTTATTAAGACTAGTTCTTCATCCTTGAAGAAGTTTCTGGGAGCATCTGTGCTCATGATCTGCCTTTTGACAGTGGCTCAGTTTGGACCGCTCCATGAGCACATCAGTGTCCTGGCTGTGAGGCTAGACAAAGCTCGACTTGGACCTACGCAACTGGGAAGGCATTTGATGCATGACTGCTGCCTCTCACCCCTCTGTGCTAGACATTCCCACCCTGCCCAGACCCTGTGTGTCACTCATGTATCTTAGTTACTAAGAGGTAGCATTGCCGTAGACAGCAGAGAAAGGAAGCTCTGCAGGTGTGTGGCCCAGAGACAGCTTCTCCCCCACAAGCAAATCAGCTAAGAAACTTTGATTGCATTGTCAAAGTCCTAAGTATAGGAAATTTCCCAGCCAGGTATAGTGAGCACACCTGTAATCCCAGCACTCCAGAGCTTGAGGCAGGAGGGGTCACTGTGAGTTCTAGGTCAGTCTGGACCATATAGTGAGTTCAGGGCCACACAACGAGATCTTGTCTCAAAAAAAAAAAGTATAAGAAATTTCTTTTCACACAGGGAAATTTCATTCAACAGATATATAACATAAATTTATTAAGGGCCTTCTATATGCTTAGCCCTGTGGGTAGAATGGGACCTAGTCCCATCTTTACAGTCTTTTGGGCAAACTGAAAGTTAAGTAAGCTAAACAAAATCAGGCCAGCCAGGTGTGCTGGTGCATGCCTGTAATCCCAGCACTCTGGGGCCGACACAAGAGGATTTACAAGTTTGAGCCCAGCCTGGGCAGCTCAGTGAGACACTGTTTTAAAAAAGACAAGGGAGAGCCAGGTGTGGTGGTGCACACCTGTAATCCCAGCGCTCGGGAGGCTGAGGCAGGAGGATCACTGATTTCAAGACCAGCCTGGGCTACATAGTGAGTTCCAGGTAGTCTCAACTACATAGTGTGACCCTGTCTCAAAAAAAACAAAACAAACAAACAAAAAAACAGCAACAAAAAAAGACAGGGGAGGGCCAGGGATTTGGCTCAGTGGTTCTGCTGCCTGCCTCACAAGCACAAGGACCAGAGTTTGATCCCTGGCACCAAAAAGGCGGGGGGGTGGAGTCTGGGGATATAGCTCAGTGTGAGGGTCCTGGGCTCACTCTTCTGTACCTTACATACTATGTACACACATACGTACGAGTTAGTTCTGTGAATTTCAGGGTGGTACAGAGCCCTGTGCTAGGAACCAGTGTTATGATGGGGGAATGGGGGAAGAAAGCCCACCTTTACTGTCTGGGCCTTTGGCAGGTTTCAGGGTGGGCAGCAGTCTTTGCAGAGACGCTTTTATCCATGAGGAGGCAAGCCTTGGGGGAGGGACGTGTTCAGGAATCACACACAGAGCAAATGCTAATTGTATCCAGGGTGTCCCAGAGGCCTGAGTGTCAGGGGCTTGGTCCTGAGGGCGACAGTGCTGGGAGGTGCTGGCGCTTTTCAGAAGCTGAGCCCAGCGAGAGACCCTCAGGTCCCCGGTCTGTAGGTCCCTCAGTCCCTCCTCTTCCTCTTCTGCTTCCCGACCATGAGGTGAGCAGTTTTGTCCAGCTACAAGCTCCTGCTGTGGTGCTGCCTGATGGGACCAGGCAGTCACGGGCTGGAATCTCCATACTGTGTGCCAAAGTAAACTTTTAAATTAGTTATCCCAGGTATTTCGTCACAGCAACAGAAAGGTAACAGTCAGTAAATGTATCATTCAACCACACCTAACCCCACAGTGGTATTAAATTCAGGACTTCTCTAACAACACCATTTACTGAATGCTTAAGACAACCCTGACACTATTTTAAACACATTCCACTAATTAACTTGTTTAATCCTCTTACCAGTTCAGCAACAGGATGACTATCATTGTATTCACTTTACAGGTGAAACACTGACACAGAGGAAGAAAAGAAAAGCACCTCAGCTAAAGCTAGACCAGCACAACCAGTATGTTACCAGCCCTGCTTCTGAACCACAAGTCAATCTCTAGACAATGCTGTCTTCTATTTTCCACTCCAAAAGTAGAAAGATCCTTGACATTTTCATGGAGGAACAGCATAGGCTGAAGGTTCCTACAATTCCAGTCCTAGGATTCTTCAAAGCTGCAGCCCAGAGACCACGAGCCTGGTCAGTGCTCCCTATTCAGCGGTCACTTCCCCCTTTTCCCACAGTCTTGGGTCTTGGGTTAGAGAGGGAAGGCCACATGGGAACAGCTATGGCTATGGACCCAGAGAGCGGTTCCCCGGGGAAGGAGATAAGAAAGAGGCCAGGCAGGCCGTTCTCTTCCAGACACTTATGCCCTCACTAAGAATCCTGAGACCACTCTCAGAGAGGCCAGCCCAGGACCTGAGGCAAACCCAACTCTCTGTCCAGTTACAGCTTCCGTCTGGAATGCCTAATGGGGCACAGCTTGGCAGTCGACATGTAATCCGCTCAGATGCACTTTTTGTGGCAGACTGGTCTGGGTGTTTCTTTGGGAGATGAGGTCAAATGAGAGAGAGAAGACAGGGTCTCGCAGCTGAGGACTCTCCTGAGTGGCATTTTCCACCCACACAGTTCCACTGAGCATGGACATTCTAGAAGAGATGCCAAACCCAGTAATGTTTTGGTACCTCAGAGCTATAGAAAGTAAAAGTCATGTTTTAAAATATATGGAGTAGGGCTGGGAGGGTAGCTCAGTGTGAAGGCCCTGGGTTCAATTCCTACTACCACAAAAAAATAAAATATACAGAATATTACCCTCAAATTCAATATCTCACAGTATAGCTAGCTTCTTGTTGTTTGTTTGGTTTTGTTCTTTGGGGGATTTGTGGGGGTTGTTTTGTTTTGATTTTTAGTTTTTTTTGAGACAGGGTGTCACCATGAAGTCCAAGCTGGCCTCCAACTCACAGTGATCCCCCTGTCTCAGACTTCCCAATGCTGGGATTACAGGTGTGCACCCCCTTTTGTGTCCAGCTCTAGTTAGCTTTTGGGGTGTATGTGTGTGTGTTTCATTTTGTTTTCGGTATCAGGAATTGAACTCAAGCCCTTATGCTTGTAAGGCAGGTGGCGGAACCACTGATCTAAATCCCCAGCCCTTCTAGTTAGCTTTTAAAATATTGTTTTCATTAATTTAGTGGCCCAGTGAATGTCTCTTTGTGGCTTCCACTGTCCACCTTACTCAGCTATTCTCCTCTCACTTCCTGGCCACACGGGAACTCACTGGCAGCGCAGGAAGCTCTCTGGCCAGGCCCTCCTCTCTCTCCATACAGTCCCGACACAGGCTAGCCTTTCTCCGGTGCTCACAATCTTCTTCACATCTATTTTTAGTTTGCCTGGCTCAGGCTTCTTGGGCTAGTGGAGCATAAGCCTTCCACTCTGCCTGTCCCTGGCATGAGTGCAGCTGGTAAGAGCCCCCAGGTACAGAGGGCTCAGAAGTCCTGCTGTCCTCTTTCCTCAGGGGAGCTGATGGCTCCAGGACTGAAGCTTGGTTTTTAAGTGGGCCATGAGGCCAGGGGACCTTCTGACGGGCTTTCTGTTTGGAATTGGAGGTGGACATTTTTCTCTCAGATGACAGACTCACTCCAACTTCCCCTCTGCCCTGGCTTCCCTCCCGTGAAGGCAGCTGTACCTTGTTTTCTTTAAAACCTCTTCCTCTGAAAAGCCGCCTGCCATGCCGAGCGTGATAAGTGCATCTGTGGCCTCTCGGACAGGGGCCGAGCCCAGGTCCCCGGGGCCAGGCCCCCAGCCAGCCCAAGGAAAGGCCACCGAAGCTGGGGGCGCACACCCAGGCGGTATCTATTCAGCCATCATCAGCCGTAACTTTCCCATCATTGGAGTGAAAGAGAAGACATTTGAGCAGCTTCACAAGAAATGTCTAGAAAAGAAAGTTCTTTATCTGGACCCTGAGTTTCCACCGGATGAGACTTCTCTCTTTTACAGCCAGAAGTTCCCCATCCAGTTCGTCTGGAAGCGCCCTCCGGTGAGTAGCTTGCTGGCTCTGGCTGCTCACTCAGACATTCCACCTCCCTCCGCTCAGCAGGACAGGCTCATGCTCCAGTGGAAGAGCAGGGGAGAGGGCAAGGCCTCTGTGTCTCCCCACACTAGAAGGCGAGGCAGGGTGGATCCTGATTCTCTTGCTCTCTCGCACTGAGGGTGGGGGGTCGCTCTGTTCTGTTTGTGGTACTGAGGATTGAACCCAGTTCCTTTGCACTGAGATACATCCCCTGCCGTTTTTATTTTGGGACAGGATCTTACTAAGTTGCCCAGGTTGGGCTCGAATTTGGGATCTTCCTGTCTCAGCTGGTGCTGGGATTATAGGGGTGGGCCATCTTGCCTGGTTAAAACTTGATTTTTCAAAAAAATAAATAAATATTCTTTCCCCAGAACAAATTCCAGCCCGACCAGATCTACCTTCTCTGTTTAGACAGCCTGCATCTTTGTAAAATTCCTTCTATTTCACCCAGAACCCTAGGAAAAGAAAAGGCACAGGCAGAGGCTACTTTTCCAAGCATGAGACAGTAGGATGACAAGAACCCTAGCAGTTGTCTCCCCACACCCAGACGAGGAAACCCAGGCAGGCGCGGGGAGCGTGTGCCCAGCCGGATAACATCTCTGCTCCCTCGGGAAGCTCTTCAGCTGCAGTGTCACTTACTGTGACCCTACCGGCTGGAAAGTTATGTTCCCTGGCTCCTTTCGCCATCATTCCGCTAATATGACTCTTGTTCTTTTTTTATGTTTTGGTCTGGTCTATATTTTTTTCCAGGAAAATTAAACTGCCTACAATTACATAAATAAGAACAAACATTTCATTACAAGTAGGCCCACAGGTCGGCTGGCAGGGGAAGTCCAGGATTTTGCAATCAAGTCTAGTGGGGCTCTGCAGGGCGGGCAGGGTAAGCAGAGGAGGCCTGGGCCTGGCAGACCTGCGCTCTAGAATGTAGGTGACCTGGCGGGGAGGAGGGAAGGCAGGGCTTGGAGTTCAGGAGGGTGCAGGGCCCCTGCTCCAGCGGGAGACAGCGCCTTGGGAGCAGCCGCGGACAGGGCAGCCGGAAGGGGGCGCAGGCGGCCTCTCCCTCGCCCAGCCACCTGCCGGGATAGGCGCCCCTCGGATGTTGGGTTCTCTCAAATATTGTGTACATGTGAATTCCATTTGAATAGTATTTGACAGATGCAAATGTTCTGTACATGCATTACCTGCATTAATCCAAGGGTTAGCCCTGAAGGCATCAGGGGAATGCAGATGAAAGCCTTGCTATCAACCACTAAATTACTGTACTTTGTCCAATAGAAAAAGGCAGACTCAGGATTTCTGTCCCTGCGCCATGCTTTCATCCTGGGGACACGAGGACATCACCGGGCACAGGGACGGGGTGGGGGCACCCCATGCTCTCAGGAGATCAGGGGAAGCTGCAGCCTCTGTTCTACCTTCTCACCCCTACTCAGAGTCCCTTAGCGCCCCTTGGAGGGCTCAGCACCTGCTTCTGCCCCTCGGCCCCTACAGTCCACTTAAAGGCCAGTCTTTACTTACTGCAGTTCTGGGAATCAAACCCAGGGCCTCTCGCATGTCACACAAACACTTGACCATTAAGTTACATCACAGGTCCTTTTAATTTTAAGATAGGGTCTTGCTTAGTTATCCAGGCTGGCTTCTGACTTGAGGTCCTCCTGCCTCAGCCTCTTGAGTGACAGGGATCACAGGCATGGGCCACTGTGCCCAGCTGACTCTTCTTAATTCAAGAAATTTCTCAGCCAAGAAATAACACACACACACACACACACACACACACACACACACACACCCTATATACAGGGCAAGTAACTGGAATGTTAGGAAGACAAAAATTTTTGTCGCTGGGAGTCCTGATGAGTGCAGCTGTCTCGTTGACTGTCAGGCGTCAGTGTCCAAGCTGACAGGGGATCAGATGGCAAGTTTGACAGTTTCCCTATCCCAGGGGGAGGGGTTCAGGCTGAAGCCAGACATGAATTACTACCCAGTGTGGGCTCCCCAGCAGCCCTGTGTGCCGTGGGGCTCCTTCACTGCCCGTGACGATGCCGAGGACCTCCACTGCAGACTGTGGAGTGGAATGGCGCTCCTTTGCCATCAGGAGGATCTGAGGCAGCAGGGTGCAGAGTTCAAGCCCATCCTGGGTAATATGGTGAGACTCTGCCTCCAAAACCACATTTTTTATCAAAGAATAAAGAAATGAATGCTGCAAGGAACTTTATTCTCGGCCCAATATTTGGCTTGCTGCCGGAGTGCTTGGGCACATCCCCTCCCTGCGAACACACCTCACTGACACCCCACACCGTCACGGTGAGTCCAGACTTCTCAGCCACGACTCAGGCCTCCCTCAGGCTGCCCTACCTACCCTGCCACCCCCATCTTCCCCTCTCCCTAGACCCAGATTCACCAGCAGGCTGGGCCCTCTTCCCCAGGGCCTCCACTCTTCTGTCCTCTGCCTGGTTGCCCCTCTTCTACTTACCTGGTGGGTTGCCTCTGTCTCTCCCCAGCATTACCCAGGCATCACTTTCTTCAAGGCCTGTTCCTCTTTAGTCTCCTTCCCCTACCAGGCCAGGCCTGTGGGGGCTGCCAGGACAGCCAGACTTAACAAGACTGGGAACTCCTGAAAGTCTTTCAAATACTCCTAGAGAGGGTGGGGCAAAGCCCTCGAGATTGTTTTTACTGAAATCATCAGTGTGCTCCAGCCTTAAAAGCTAGACTTGTAAATGAACAGAGCTATTTACTGTGCCGGTTGTGCTCTAACATACACTGCCATGTCAGGGTATGAAACAGCACAAGCAGAAGTCCAGGCTGCTCCTCGCAGTGCTCCCGCTGTGTCGGCCCCTAGGCGATGGCCCTGAGCTTTCTACTGGCCGTCACTAAAGGACAACACAGCCAGTGTCCACCTGGCCTTCAGAGCCAGAGCACTGCCTCGAGCTCACTGGTACAGAGCAGAGTCGGAGCCGGTAGACGAAAATCAAAAGCACAATGACTCCAGAACTTTCTGCATTGCAGAGCCCTCTTGGAAACATCAGTTTTCTGTGCACATCTGTGGCCATCGTGACTCTTGTCAGACCTGCCGCTGTGCCCATCTTGTGCTGGCACCATCTCGATGTTAGACCTCACAGATGGTCTTGACCCCAGCTCCTGAGCTCAGTGCAGTAGAAAGAAGATGAATGAAGCTTGCAGAAATGTGAGGGCAAATGGCACCCTAGAATGGAAAAATAAAGATTCCTGGGCCAGAAATTTAGCTCAGTGGTTCTGCCTCCTGCCTCATAAGTGCATCACATCAAATAAGCTCCTCTAACTTAACCCCAAAGATGACCCCAGAACTCCATCTTTACCTCTGAGCTATCATTTTTGCAGCACTGGGTAATCTTGGTGTTGTGGCTTCAGACTCAGTCAGCCTGAATTATCTGTAGATCCCATATTTGCAATTCATCTCTGCAATAAAATATATTTATAACCCCCAAATTGGGTTTATGATAACTTCTGAAACTAGGAAAAATTCAAATTGCCCTGTATACTGTTCACCACTGAGTTGAGCACTTGGCCCTCAGAACAGATGTGCCATGGGTCAGGATTAGCGTTAGGGTTAGGGTGGGTCAGCGTTAGTTAGAGTAAGTGTTAGGGTTAGCGTGGTGTCTGGTAGGAGCTCTGAACACAAGGCATCTTCCCTGCAGAGTTAACCAACCTACACCATTCCCATCTAAAACGCAGAAATTCTGGGTTGGCACACAATTGTTATTTTCTTCCCGTGTGAGAAGGGAGTAGTGAGCTGAACTGCTGCAAAAGCTCATTAGAGCAGGAAGCCCCTGATCTTGGCCCCGGAACCAATGTCTTGCTTAGTTTCCTCTCTCAGGGAAATTACCAGGCTTCCTAGTAAAGGTGGCGTGGCGAGAGGTCTGCTCAGGATCTGTTTCTGTCGGACAGTGAAACAGAAGTTGGCTCCCTGTGCTGGCCACAGAGAGGAGGCACCGGGCCCTTGCACAGAGCAGTGAGGACAGGTGGATGTGCAGCAGTGCGGTCTGGTCTCAGCTCTGGTTCCACCATCACCAGCCACACAAATATTCTAAGTGCGGCTTTTCCCTGCTGTGCTAGAGAAATGGATCTTAACATCCGGCTGCTCTGAGGTGCCACCCTTAATCCCAGATGCTCCAGGAAGGCAGTAATTACCACCAACACAGGCAGCCCCCTGGCCCGGAAGATGCAGACCCCAGCTCCACCCTTTGACCTCACGACCTCAGGAAGGTCACTGATCATCCTTAGGTCTCAATTTCCCCGTCTGTGGAAAGCAAATCACAATCCCTAACCTTCTCAAGTTGGTGTGAGAGTTAAAGGAGATGTAAGTATGCTCTACATGGTGGACAGTTGAGAGTATAATGGTAAATGTCGAAAGGCTAAGGGAAGCTGGGGTTATAGAGCTCAGTGGTACAGCACTTTGCCTACTGTGCATGAGGCCCTAGGTTCAAGCCCCAGCACCACCAAAACCAAACAAACAAAAAGTTAAAGGGGCAGAAAAAGAAAAAGGCAACATGAAACATCCACCTGAGAGCCAACTTCTCTCTACTCAGTGGAGAATTAGGATGGAGACATCCTGGGGTGGGCGTGGGGAGCTGAGAGGGCGCCAAGATTTTGGTGAAAGTGGGAAATCTGTAAATAACTCCTAGGGCCACTTTCTTATGCTGCCCAGGACAGTAGCTCCTTCTGAGTGAGGGTCGTGGTGGGGACAGGGCTCCAAATGTCCAGATGCACACAGGGAAATGACTCACAGCATAGTGCAGAAGACGGGGAGGGGAGGCCGGAAACGGCCAGAGACATAGGAGAAGCGCTCCCTTGCTCTGAACAGGCACAGCATGGTTCGGGCGTGCACGCGTTCTCTAGCCACTCAGTCTGCTGCCCATCAAACACCTGCCAGTGTCCTCTGGTCTCCTTTGTCGTCTTCTCTCACGCTCCAAACCTGGATTTTGCTAATATTC